GAGACATGCTGTACGGCCCACCTGTGAGGATATCTCCAGTCGGTCCTTCCTATAAGCCCCGCAGCAGCACCCCAGTCTCACACATCAATGGGCACAGCAGCACCCTGGGGGGGACCATTGGACCTATTGAGGACCTGACACGCAGCTTAAACAGAGACAGAGACCGCGATAGAGACAGAGATGTGGAGAAGAGGCCAGTGCTGTCTACGTCTTCAAGGGGGCCTCCTCTTGGATCTTCTTCTTTAGTAGCAGACAGGGACAGGCCGCGGTCTTCCTCATCTTCTGTGCTCACTCCTCCCCCACCTTCTAACCGCTCTGCCCAATCTCCCTTGGACCTGTACCCCCGCTCAGTGGCTTCCACACCGCACAACTCCCACAACGAGTCCTCGCACTCCCAAAGAGACGGTAGCCTTCCCTCTTCCTCCACTGCTTCCTCTTCTGTTTCTTCATTGTCTCAGACCAAGAAGCCTGATCGGACCTCGACGCCCCAGTCCAAACCTTCCATGCAAATTCAAGTGAAACAGGAGCGGAAGGAGGAGCCGGAGCACATCCCCATCTCCCACCATCCCCTAGCACCCAGCCACAGCTTTGACCGCCCCAACAGCCATCCTCACCACCCCAGTTCTGGCACCCCTTCTTCCTCTTTATCTCTGACTCCTACTCCAGGTGTCCCTCTCCCACCACCTACTCCAAACCCACCTTCGCACCAGCAGATGTCCCTGCTGGAACGCACAAGAACCATTGAAGCATATCTGGGGGGCGCAGTGGGTCCTGGAGGGTTGGTAGTCGGTCCTGGTGGTGAACGTTTTCCCCACGGTCCACCTCAAGGACCATCACAGGGTGCACATAGCTTCCCTTGGGACCCGTGGAGGGAGCAGCAACATCAGCATCGTAGGGAGGCTTTAGCATTTCGGTCAGACCATCACCTAGCCCTGCGACCTGAACATCACCTGGCTCAGCTGTTCCGGCATCAGCGCCTTTTTGAGGCAGAAAGGGCCGCTGTAGCCGCAGCAGTGGTGCCCCACCCACAGCCTTCTACCTCTAATGCCTCCTCCTCTGCTGTTCGCCCCGACTTCAGCCTCATGGCGCATCCCTTTGATCGCCATCCTCAGCTCGGACCCCCAGGAGGTGGGCTGATGGATGAGGAGCAGCGGATCCAGATCTTTAGGGAAGACTATCGTAATTTAATGCACCTGCACCTCCCTCCTGGCTCTCACCTGTCCAGCCCCTCTCACGCTGCTACTGCCCCTCACCTGGATCAGCTTCACCCTCTCGCCCACTCTCTCCCTCCGGGAGCTTCTGGTGCTCACCAGCACCACCCGGGCTTCTACTCCCGCCTCACCCCGCTCATCCCACCCCACATGGCCAACGGTATCCTGGCAAAGACCACGGCGGGCTTGGTGGGACCTCTTCAGGTGGGGGCGCCGCCTCCGCTCATTCCGTCCGTCACCAATCGGTCGGCCACACCCCCCCGCAGCTCTAGACTCGCAGGTCCAGGTGAGCTGGCACTGTACAGCGCCCACAAAGACGCAGAATCCAGATAGTACAGGGACAACACTGGAGGAGATTAAGGGAAATGTCAGGATCACTGTGCTGCTCTCAACCTGCCCCTTTTCCTCTTGCAGACTACTAAACCCCGACCTTCCAATTACACAACCAAACCACCCCCGCACCCCTCCAAACAATGTTTAAAAACAAAAAAGGAAGGAGGTGATGGCAGGAAGGGGAAAAAGCAAGGCATGGAATAAGCCCAATGGTTCTATCATTGCAATTTAAAGGTACATGGTTTCTGTGCATCCTTGGTGTATTTTTATTTTATACTGAAAGTTTTCAGAAGAGGCAGAGGACAGCTTTTTCATTTGTCAGGTGAATTATTTTCCATACTTTTTTTTTTTTTCTTAAGCAAGCCTTTTCCACGTGGATTTGGAAACGACTTCCAGAGGGGATAAATGCCCAGGGGTTTGTTTGTCCACGGCTTGGTTAATTTATGGGATACTTCAAAGCCCTCCGCTACATGTATCAACCCTGCTTTTAGGTGTTGTGGGTGAGGGTTTATTTTGGAAATACAGTGGTAAAGTGGTCCTCTCTTCTGTTTTTGTTGGTGTGTCACTGCGCAAAGACAGATTACCGATGAGACCATTTCACGAAGATCATTCAGCATCGTACCTCAGTTTCCTGCTTTACCCCCCAAAATCCAACTTCAGACCCCTCAGCTTCAATTTTGACATTGTTTTGAAAAAACTTTTTGTTTTTCTTTGTTGGTTTTCAAAGGATGAATGGCGAAATGAACTGTGCTACACTGTGAACACAGTGTCTTTAGAGCTTCCTGTAAGTGTTTCCCAGTCTCCTCTTGAATATACGAGCAGGACCAGATTATAGTAGTCTAGAGAAATTGCCTTTGTAATTATTATTCTTAACATTAATTATCTTCTATAATAATAAATATATTCACTGTTATGTTATTTGTCATTGTTTTGGGTATCAACCAGTACTCTGTCCCCGGGTAGTAATGTTTCAAATCATCCAGAAAGGCCTGCTTCACAAAAAATTCTTCAGTGCTTGTGAACATTAAAGCCGCATCTATCGCAACCTCTGGCCTCTTCAAGAATCTCATCTGTGACTATAATGCTAAGAGAGAGAGAGGTTTGCCTGTGCGTCTCACTGGTTGTGTGTGTTATATCCATTTGGGAGTATGGGAGCCTTGTACATTGAACTGTCGAGTTGTTTCTTCAACAAAAGTAAGTTATATACACGGATAAGTGGGATGTGTGCTGAAGAACTGAAAAGGAAAAAAAACATATAAGGACTGTCAAAAGACAACTAGCAGTGGGTATCCTGAGAGGGAAAAGACTGGGTCGATTATTTTAATATGACCGTTTTATACCTTTCGAACCCCTCCCCTAGAGACCACAAAGAATAATTATTAAATGAATTGTTGTTTACACTGTTGTGTGCGTCTTTTGTCCTGAATCTTTAAATACACCTGCTCTACACTTCGTTAGGTAGGAACCACCTCGCCCCCTTTTACCTTCAGAACTGCTTCTTTGTGGCAGAGGTTAATCAAGATAACTATCCCCCTCACCATTACACCCCCACCAGCAGGTGAACAGCGAGACAGCACGGCTCAGTGCTTTTGTTTTTATGCCAAATTCTGATCCTGCCACCTGAATGTTGCAGCAGGAGTTGAGATATTTTTCTGTTGTCAGATTTTGGTGAGCCTAAATGTACTGTAACCTGTTTCCTGTTGATGTTACCGTTGCCTTTCTATCAGTTTGAAGCAGTCTGCTGTCAATAAGGCATTTTGACCCAGAGAACTGCTGCTCAGTGCAGCTCTTTATGGTTTACAGTGAATGGTCTAAAGGGATGGTTGTGTGGGGGGAAAACTTCAAGGAGATCACCGGTTTCTGAAATGCTCAGACCAGTCCATCATCACAGTCAAATAATCCTTCATTCTGATGGTTGGTTTGAACTTCAGCAGGCTGTCTCCACAATATCTACATGCCCAAATGCATCGAGCTGCTGCCATGTGATTGGTTGATTAGATATTTGCATTATAGAGCAGTCGGGACAGGTGTATGTAACAAAAAAAAGAAAAAAAAATAGCCAGTGATTGTTATTTAAAAGGATACAGGCTACATACTTTTTTCAATAGGAAAATATAATTAGTGACTTACAGTAATCACATTTAAAATATGACTATATAAAAAAATAACCACTGTTCATCTTTATATACTTTTTGTCAAAACCACAGGGAGCCACTGGAGATGGTCCAGGTTCACACCCCCCGAACTAAACAATTCATTATTAATGGAGCAATCGTGGAAACAATCAGCATATTATCTTAATCTCTCTGAACCTCAGTTGGAGTGGCGAGCATGGACATATGTGCAAAAACGTTTAGTCCTGAATCCCTTGAGCTATGAATTTAAAGGCCCAGAAATGAAGTCATGGAGGAAAATTAAGAATTTCAGACAGAGGACAGATTTGTTTATTTTCACTACTTAAAAGTGTAGCTGGACCTTAGGAAAAAATTAAATTAAAAGGTTTTGATATTTATAATCAAAACAGGCTCTTTTTAATTTAGGTTATTTGCAGAAACACTGGTACCCATCAGTGACCAGTGTAGCATTACAGTATATACTTCAAATCAGGCTTAATAGACTTTTTTTTTCTCCTTTGCTTCACAATTCTGTTGTACATTTGCAATGATAGTTTTTTGTATTTTTGTTCTATAATTTTACATATGTAACAAAAAATATAGTGTTATTGTAATTAAAATGCAAATAGTCATAAATGCTCCTCTCTGAAACACGTGGATGTAACAATAGTATTTATTTACACCTGTTGATAATATTCAAAGGATAATCTGTCCTTAAAAGGCTGTGCTATTGTTATTATAAGGATTACATTGGTTTTGTGGCTCCATCAGATTTCTTTTGTTTAAAAATGGCTCACTGTTGTTCCAACTCAAATTTGGCAAATAATAGGGCAGCATTCTTTAAACCAAAGAAAACCACCTAATATTTACATAAAGCTTTTAATAGTAACATTGAATAATTTTAGTCCATTCAACAAGTTTCAGGTACATCAAATATAACATGTTATGCATAACATCACTTACAATCATACAGATAATCATTTAAACTTAGAGTGCATTAAAAATATATGTGTATTAAAAATAGCTGCGATTATATTTTATAAATAATCCAACATTTAAATCACCAGGAAAATGGCGAAATAGCGTTTACTTAGTGTAAACAAACCCCGACAGGGAAATTAAAATAGTTTTGCTGTCACGTTGATATAATTTTCTTTAATATAATGAATAATCCCGAAAAAAAAACGATTCAACATGCACTATTTCTTCCAAGCGCACCGCAGTAAATCAATTAAATTAACTCGTCTTTATATTAATCGCTCACCAACGCCGGTAAATAAACTATCACAAATGTCAGCATTTCAAGTGGCGCGCTTGACGACTTCTCGCGAGATTTTCGTGCGTTCTGTACTTTGTCAGCAGCGGTCCTCCACCATTTCGCTGCGTAAAGTCTCCTCCCCGCGACCGCTACATTCTGCGCCGAAACCCAGTCTCTCCCGGTCCGTAATTTAACTTCTTCCCACAGACCTAGGGGTACCTCGTTGGGTACCGGGAGACAGTTCGGATTACTGGCATTACGGATTGAGTGCGATTTTTCGCGGATGACGACTCCTTCAACGAGAATTTAGTAAAAGAAAATTGGTCGGAAATTTCAGGTAGGTGGGAACTTAAGATGGCGGCCTTGAGAGGGAGGGGGGCGAAGGAGGAAGTAAAGGGGGATTCAAGGGGGGTTTTAGACAACTGGAAGGCCACAATCAGACTGCGTTTCATTTGTTCACGCTGCTTCTGCGGCGTGCGATGAAATATGTACCTACCTACAACACTGACCTAAACCAAGATGACAAAACAGTAGACAGTGACATGGGATATCTTCGGATGTTAACTACTCTAAAAGAAAAAAGGAGTGATAAACCGTCACTTCCGTGCGGTCGTTTCTAAAGTGCGGTCCGTGGGGACGTAGTTAGCCCCCTTGAGTCCCCCGTGTAATCGTTGCAAAATTTATATGGAACTTTCTAACACTGTTTTTTTTAGACATTTCGTATATTTAACTAAAAAGTAATCACTATCTATTTTTAAAACTGAATAATTTAAACCCATTTATTTTCGCAAAAGAGGATTTGACCCCACGCAATGACGTCACGAGTGATTGTCTCCCCCCCCCTCCCTCTGTAGTGCATGCAGAAGCGGCTTTTAATGCGACTTTTCGGATGTTTTGGGGGTATTTTTGGGTCCTCAGCGTACAGTAACGCATTAAAATGTATCGGCATAAACTGGCTTCTTTGAAGCCTGAGCATTACATAACTGCGGGTGGGATGAGGGGCGCCTGCGCGTCAAATGAACGCACCCTACTAACTAACTCTTCTAGCTGGCTAGTTAGCAGCAGGCTTCCTCCATTTAACTGTTATTGCTGGAGCTAACGTTAGCTAGTTAGCCAGCCTGCCAGAGAGCTAACCGGCAACGTTAGGCGTTAACCTTTGAATTGTGTTTTATGAAGCTTCTTGAGCTGCAGTTCTCATATGGGTACGGCTCATGTTTCAAGGTATCACCGCTGCCACATCACTAGTGAATACACATAATTTCTTGGTCGTCTTGAACCCCATGTGGCGACAGGTACTCACAATTTAAAAGGAAAAAAAAAGAAAAAATAGTCACGAGAGCACGGATTGAATGACTGACCGGAGGCCCGCGCGCTTGGTCGCCGGCTTTTAGCGCGAGAGAGCGCGTGCTGCAGAAATCCTAACATCTTCCTGTGGGCGACTGCAGCAAATGCAACCAGGAGCTGGCTGTTTTTTTTTTTTTTTTTTTTGTGTTTTTTTTTATTACCGCTGCACACACACCACAGTCCTAGCAGGAGTTTGCTAGCCTAGCTGTCCGCTCCTTACGTGACATGTTACTCATCATCCCATACATTCATATATCTCTGTTTACCAACTGAAGCTTCTGCCACAGCTCATTTTTTTTTATAGCTGTTGGAGTTGTAAGACCAGTCAATTTCAGCAGTAGAGTTCCTAATAGTGAGTTTAAACTGCTTTTTTGATTTTAAAAATAAAGTTACCACCCGATTTCTGTTCCTCACTTCCTCAGAATATGTGGAGGGGACCCTAATTTCAGCATCCTGGAAGTAGAAAGCACTGAAGATCTGTGTCTTACACGACAGACAGGTGAGAGGCTCCTGCTTTGCACACACATCGCTTCAGAAGTGGCTGTAATATGTGTAGTAATTATTTGTGACTTGCTAGTGCAGTCAGCAGTATTTAGACATTTAAATAGACTTCTTTATGTTATTATTTTGTTAGCAAAAACTTATTGTACTTAGTCCCCATGAAAAGAAACTCATCAAACAAAATATAGTGCACAGACTGGTTTTTATTTTGATATATTTAGTCTAAAAAGTAAACACGGATGAGCTGTGCAGCTAATGTTTTTGCATTAAAATTTACCTTGCTTCTTTTAGATGGAATCTAAGGTACTATGTTATTTAGCTGGTATAAATGCTATTTAGTCTGTGGAGCATCCAGAGATCCCCGTTTTTATTTGTTTATTTTGGTTTTTGGTTTCAGGTGTTTTATTTTCCCTTTCTTGTGTATGTATGTTAATGACCTTTTTAAAGATATACATACAATTGTGGAAATTTTTTTCCTGAGATTTTTACAAATGTGCATTGCAATTATATTGTTGTTGTTATTATATTTAGACTTAAAAGAAAAAACATGGGGGATGAAAATGTCCTGTTTAAAGAGGGACATGTGGTCGCACTTTCATTTTTACCTGTTAAGTGAGTTATACCAGAGGTGTTCATGAGCCACGTTTGGCCCATTAGCCCAGTTTGACTAGTAAAACCAGTGCTACTAAAGAACATTCACCTGGACATCCCTGGATTCAAAATGAGCCAGACACGGAGTGTTCAGATCTTGTTTTCATTTTTTCTTTTTTCTTTTTTTTTTGTCTCCTTACATCATGTGTTTGTTAAAATTGATAAATCATAGTGACAATATAAGATAAAGTTCTGCTTTACTTATCTCAAAAGTGGGGAAATCCCTTTATTGCTGCAAATACAAGCTATAAGCACATAAGATAAGTACAGTGCTATATAGTTCAATAAAATACATCACAGTAAAACAACTACATTAGTAAATACAAGAACTGAAGTAAAATCAAAATTTAAGTGAGTATAAACTTAAATAAAACGATTAAAGTACACTTATAGAGAGAGATGTATACTTCTGTGTAAAGCTAGTACCATCATACCACAAAAAATGAGTTTTATCGAAAAATTTGAGTAATTTATGACTTCACTGCAACTCTCACTCTTTACAAAATATCCAGTAGCCGATTGGACCAGTTCATGCCTGACACCCCTGTTAACAGCCTGTGTCTCTTCCCTTGCAGGTGCAGTGTGTAGCCGGGGCAGCACCGAGGAAGGACGCTCTGGGGAGGAGGCGGCGCGGCAGCACGCCTCTCCGGCTGTGGATGTGCTGGGTGGCAACCCCCAGGCTGCACAAAATGTGGCTGGGGAGTCCCCTCGGCATGCCCCGCAGCCGGTCGCAGCTGCCCCGCACCCAGTCCCTCCGCTCACCGATCCGTCCACTGTGCCCCTGCTGGAGAGCAACACCCCAACATTCGCCAGCACGGAGAACGCCCCTCCGACCACCTTGCCTGAGACTCTACCAATCAGTGGTAATATCATCTCAGAAGAGAGTGCCGTCGGAGTTGCAAGATCTTTGCCAGCGTCCCTCACTGAGGACTGCAGTTCCTCTGCTGAGATGCAAAGGCTTCCAGCTTCCCTTTGTCCTCCTGTCCCCTTACAGATTGACAAAACAGTGCAAGAGCTGCAATACGGGTCACAAACTGATAAAGAGAAAAGCCACTCAAACAGTCAGACAAACCAGCTTCCTAGAGAAGGTGCTGGACTTGTGGTTATTACGGGAACAAAGGAAAAACGGTCCATCACCTTGGAATATAAACCAGAGACTGGAACAAATATGGAACTTGGTGGAAAAGAGCACACAGGTGGGAATATTCTCCCACAACAACCCAAATCTCAGATCTGTTTCACAGCCTCATCTCTCTCTGTCCAAGACGCTACGGAGGGTGGGGCTGTGGAGCAGTCCGACAGGACTCCATCTGTCCAAACAAATCAAAGCAGCCATATACCTCCGTCAGGTGCTGCAGAGCAAGCAGGGAGTCTCCAGGACTCGGCATCGCCTGCACTCCTTCTGTCCTCAGCCGAAAATAGAGAGATTAAACAAACTAACCTGTCAAAAACTCAACCCAAAACTATCAAGGGGATCTCAGCTAATGCTAGAGACGTGCAGAAAACGGCTTTTTCGGAGTCAGTTGAACACATTGAAACGCAGCCTCATTCAGCTGAAATACTCGAAGCCGCAAAGGCAAGAGAGCTGCTCCCTGGAATATACACTTCGACTGGAAAAGGAAGCTCGGCGTCCAGCTGCGGTCCCCTTGAAGGAGCGCAGGTGGAGAGTAGCACGAGCAAAGAGCAAGCTGACTCGTCAGGCCCCACAGTGCTGCAAGAGATTTCCTCAAAACCTTCCACCGGACCTGCTCTGTTTGACACAGGCCTAGTTGTCTCACTTCAGGCGGGGGAGGTTATAAAAGCTGAAACATCTCACACCTCTGACCAAGTCGCCTCAACAGAGCTCATCGCGGAGATTGTGCATTCTGCCGACACTCAGGAAATTGTGGTTGTCGGGGAGGAGGCTCATATCACCGGGGCCTGGCCCACCGTGCACCTGAATCAGAGTTACCTTCTGCAGCGAGAGGATGGCAGCGTCTGCGAAGCCGCCATCGTCAACGAGCTGACTTCGGAGATCTCCGCTGGGGAGCCGAAGCTGTACACAGGAAGCGTTCAGACGCAGATGGAGCTGGGCTCTCAACCTGTGGAAGTGTACGAGTTTTGCAGTCTGGTGGAGGAGGTCGCAGAGGAGACGGTCTGTGCCAGCAGTGCTGCACAGATGCCTCATTCTCCTGGATATGAGGTGAACTTATTCAACGCTTTACTAGAAAACTCTGAGGACCTCGAAGCATCTATCCACACAGTTGGTGAAAACAACACCATCATAATCTCCCAGCAGCCCTTGCGTTCAACAAGTGATATAAATCAGGCTTGCTCTAGCAGTAATTTATCCATACGAAACACAAGCATGGCCGGAGTTGAACAGCATTTGGTGTTAGATGCTAACCAAGCTGTTGAAGTGGCACACTCAAGTGCGGTTTGTTTAGTTGAAGTAGCGGCCGTTACTGCTGACTCATTCACTGTTGAACAGGCGGACACCAGCGCGCAAATCGGGACACGGGTCGGTGCTGACCAGACGGAGGTGAGCGGTACTGCTGTGCTTCAGACTGTTGGCCCAAAACAGGAAGCAGAAGTAACAGTTGCTTCGTTATCTCTCTTATCCCCAGTGGTTACTATTACCAGTGGAAACTTGGGGATGCAGGCCCCTGTTGCTGTTACACTTTCTCATATAGGAAACCAACCCTCCCTAAATCAGACCCCAGGAGTCACTGTTGTAAGTGTCACAAAGCCTGAGGTCTGTGTTTCTGCTTGTGACGGGACCAAAGATTCCCCCGCTGTCACCACAACGGCATCAGTGACTGTTCAGAATGTCGCTATGCCCTCAGTAAGCAAGCCAGTGGCTTTGCGTGCCGCTCCTGGGGCTATAAATCCAACGCTGCTCCTTCTCAAACCGGGAGAAACTCCTCTCCTGAAACACCCACCCTCCTTTTCATTGTCTAAGCAACAGAATGCAGACGGCAAGCTGGCCAATGCCCACGGCTCCTGCTCCTGGTCTGGCACGGTGTCTGAGGAGTGCCTTCCCCAAACAGTCTCCGCTCTTAGCAGCTGCAGCGATCAGACGCAGCGGGCTGTCAATGAATTGTCAGTGGTAGCAGCAGCAGGAGCTTCTGTCAAGCTAGAAAGTGGTAATATTTCTCTTGAACCCGACCCGGCTACACCTGCCACCCCCTTAACGACTACTACAAGCAAACCTGAGGCCTTAACCGTTAGCAGAACTTTATCCCAAGATGTTTCCACAGCAGCCGCTACGCTGCACAGTTCGAACATGCTCACAGCTTCAGTCTCAGCATCCACCAGCCCCGGCGACTTCCCCAGCCAACCCGATTCCATCTACGGGGAGGAAGATGGCGAGGACATTGAGCATGACGACCCTGCGGGAGAAACTGAGGTCCAGGAGAGCAACTCGGGACAGGTTAGCAGCCCAGAAGAAGGCAGTGACGACGAAGCCGACGGCGAAAAAAGCGAGATGACCACCCCCAGCTCGCCACACAAGGTATTTGATCCATTAAAAAAAAAAGGAAACCAAAGAAACCATAGCTTAGACATAGCATTAAGACTCATAGTCATGAGTTATTGCTTGAATGCCAAGGTATAAGAGGCGTCCACAAAACACGAGCACAACTGAAGCAAAACAGCTGATAAATGCTAAATCTGCATCCGGACATCTTGTCGCTGTGAATAAGATGAGATGAACTGTTTATTGGATCTTTTTTGTTCTTTTTATCCGAGTGAGGAGCTTAGGAGTTTCAGAGAGGTTTGCTTCCTAACTGGGTATGACAGAATATATATATATATTTTTTAGTGATGTGCAACACTGTTACTGTTGCTGAAATCATTTTTCTGAGCTGTAATTCAGTCCTGAAGAGATGCGTTAATATTTTATCTTGGCTAAGAACAAAAAGCAGTTTTAGTTATCAAATGGTAATCAGATACGCTGGCATGCTTTTTATTTTATTTTAAAAGGACGTCACTCCGCATGTAGTCCATCTTTAATGCAACACGTGTGTGTGCGCGGTGTTCTTGTATAAAGTGATTCATTTCTTTTAAGTTGGCCGCATGCTAAGCCATGTGTGTTTTCCAGCATGGACAGAGCAGGACAGACAGACAAGCACTGTTTCTTAAGGTAAGTGCTGGTTGTCAGACACCCAGACAGGCTCATTTTAACAGGGCATTCATGAGCATATCCCAGGCAGGAGAATTTTAACTCAAGCAGGCATTTCTTTGACTTCAGCTCTTTTATGATTGCATGAGAAGACGGCTGCCACAGACTCGCTCGTGGCCAGTTTGACACGCTTCCTAAACACTTAAATGCTCTAATCCATTTCATGCATGATGCTTTTGTCTTAGTGAAGCTTAGGCTTTCACCTTAGTTTGTTTCATTTTCTAAAAATTAAAAAAAAAAAAAAATCCTCTTCATCCTTGTCCCCTTCACTCTCAGGTACGCCAGTGGATTGCAGACAGGGTCACTGGGAATTCTTCTCCTGGATCACCCTCAACCTTCTCCTACCCCGGATCCTCAACCACACCTGACTGGTCCACACCACGGCGGGAGAGGTCCTCGCCTCTCCGGGGTCCCCACGGAAAGTTTGTTTCACCTTCCTCTTTCGGTGCCTACAGTTCGTCGTCTTCGCCGCCAGACCAGGGCTCCTCTCAGCGGTCCCGCAGTGAGCGTCACACCGACATGGCAGAGCTGGCTAAACATGTGAGTGAGCATCATTCAGGATGTTCAGCATTTCGTCCACACGTCCGCGGGACAGTCAACCAGTCTGTCTCTCCGTCTGTGTTTTTTAGCAGTCTTTCTGCTTGTCTAGATACAGTTTTATCTAATTATATCTATCGATCTATTATCAATCTCTCTGACTGCTTGTCCTTCTGTTTACCTCTTTCATCTATCTTCAAATTTCCCAATTCAGTTTTTGTTTTTTTGTTTTTCAAACCGGGCTCTGATATTTTTATATAAAATATTTCATCTTTGTAACCGTCCTGCATATGAAAGGTTTTTTTTTTTTTTGTTTATCATGCTTTACAGTTTTATATTTCTTCCACGTAATCCAAGTAAAATCTTAACTTTTATTTTGCTGTAGGTTGTTTCTTGTCCCTCAGTAAGTGGTGCCAGGCAGAAATCTTATGAATTGTGTATGAATCGCTGCTTCTCAGCCTCTCACTAAATCCTCAAATTGACGAAAGCAGTTGCACATCCGAAGATTATTTGCCTCATGTCCGATGCCTTTTAACAGGCTGCTCCAGGAGTCTGAAATGTAAATAATCAAAACAAATCACTTTGAATGGCACAGCATGCATTTTTTTAACCTTCTGGATTCTTAAAGGAGAGAAAATTGGACCTTTTTTACTAAAAAGACATTTCAGTTTTGTGAATAGACGCAGCTTTTGATCCATTTCCCTATTTAGCTGTCGGGCAGTTAAGTAGTTAATTGTTATTTTATGTCTGCTTTGAGTAATTTAAGAAAAGCTCAGGAGAAATGCAGCACTTTTTAAAAACTCCCCTGACATCCTTTTGACTTTGATGGTATACTTTACATGATTATGCTGGAGCGCTCTGCTGAACAACCTTTAAAAACTGTTGTGTTCAAGTGTTAAATATAAAGAGCTCTGTCCTTTGTACTGTTTACTTGCGTTACTTTTTGGGAACATCACGGTTTTTAAGAAGAAACGTCTCAATCAGCTCCTCCTCTTTTGTGAAGCAAGTGAAGCTCTGCTGATGAAGGTCACTATATGACAAACAGGACAAGGCAACAAAGTGTGTGGATTTGAAAGCAGGAGAAGAAAGATGGAACATCTTGCAGCCTTGTGACTGTGTGAGACAAAGTGTGAGGTGTGTGGAACAGCTTCTCTGCTGCAGTTTGAGTGCTAGGGAGGGATCTTGTTATCGAAAATGTTGCACAGGTGCAGCTCTTTTGAAATTAAACAAATATTTTCTCTGACCGATGAGAGCCGTTCACCAGAGTGCCACTATTTTTTTTTTTTTTTGTTACTGAGACAGATAATTATGAAGTAATGAATCCAGAGTGTACCTAAATGAGAGGTGCAAGGAGAACCTTTATTTTTTTAAATGCCAACCCGGAGGCTGGCACCACCATGGTTCCCTCTACACACACCAAGTGGGATTTCTTTTCTGTTTTTGTTTCAAGGTTGTTTTGGTGTTATTGCATAAAACTTTGTTAAAAAAATGTTTTGGTCAATTTGTGAAGATAATCTTCACAAATTGATGCCATTAAGTGAAATCCTATGAGATAAAAGCCACAAACAAACTGCCTTTTGTTCAGCTCTCTTTCCATATAATCTTTCTATTTTCCTTATAATGCCAATATATGGCACTAGTATCTAAAAAGACCTGAAAATGGGGTTCTCAAAGCTTTGATAGACCCATTTCTATCAAGTGAGCCTACATCAAAAGTGGGGACCGCCTCTAAGAGTCGAAAGAACTAGGAAAAGGTTCCTCCGGTTTGAAAGCACCTTTGACGATGCAGTGTAGCAGGAGATCAGTATTTGGCATTTCTGAATCAGCTAACCCCCACCTTACTGTTTCAGAGCCAGGAGTTTACTGACTTTTTGTTCTTCACTTTGTGCTGCAGGAAGCTGACATCGAGCATCGAACACAGGCACTGAAGCGAGAGGGCTTCTGGTCAATGAAGCGACTCACCCGCTTGACGGAGCCACCGCGGCCAAAGGTTCACTGGGATTACCTGTGTGAGGAGATGCAGTGGCTCTCGGCTGACTTTGCTCAAGAGAGGCGGTGGAAGAGAGGCGTGGCCAGAAAGGTAGGACGTGCAAATCATCACAGAGGTTTGCTTGAAGTTTCACACATTCATGATGCTAAGAACAGGGGTGAAAAGTGCGCTCCTGTATTTTTGATGGTGGATGTTGTATATGTTCTAAATGTGTTCTGTTGATTTGTTGTTAGGTGGTGCGGATGGTGATGCGGCACCATGAGGAGCTGAGGCAAAAGGAAGAAAAAGCAAAGCGGGACGAGCATGCTAAAATCAGACGAGTCGCCTCTTCTATCGCAAAGGAAGTCCGGGCTTTTTGGAGCAGTGTAGAGAAGGTACAGATGATTCCCTGAAACCAAGCAAACAGAACATTCTGCTTCTCTGTTCAGCGCCCGTGTTTGTTCGGGTTTATGACAGAAATAACATCCACTTTTCACATGAAGTGCAGTCCTGCTTCCAAAAACGTGGCAGTGTAATGTTCAAGGCTGTAGCTGAATAAAAACTAAAACGAGGTGGGGATCAGGAGGCTTTGGCGCACAGATTCTGAAACTGCAGGTTTCGTCACTCTCCTACCAAAATTCACTGAACCAGCAGCAAAAGACCAAAACTACACCTTTGAAAAACATCGTAATGAATAAATTCCCTCTTAGTTTTGCTGTTTTGCTTCCACCACGATAAAATTGCACCTCTTGCACAGCTCTATCTCTCAGCGTGCTTTGACGCCAATTTACCATCAAACACCTCTATTTTCGGTTTTTTTTTGTTTGCCTGCTACACACCCAGCTACCGTTGTGTACAGTGCTGTCGGCTGCCCCCCTCCAAAAAAATGGCCCCTGACAAGACAGCCTAATTTCTGTTTTTCAGTACTGAAGAAATGTAAACTTTCACACATTATACTAAATTGCAAAATGCTCATCTGTGTCTCCAATAAAACGTTGGCACTACATACAACACGACGCAACACAGTAACTTAACTTAGTAATAAATTGAAGAATAAGTGTAAATAATAAACAAAACAAAAAAAACACTGGACAGTTTGGACACACATTTAAAAAAAAAAAAACCAAAAAAAAAAAAAAACCAAAAAAAATTTAAATTAAACTGAAAGTGAACCCTTTCATATGAGCAAAACTCACTCTGAAAGCTGGCTGAAACTGAAAATAAAACTTCAGAACAAACATATACGATAGAAAATGGCACACGAAGTGATTAGTTTTTATTGGGCTCTTCTTTTAACAACACTCTGGGAACCTTTGGAGGATATCAATTACCTCAGTAGGGGAAAACCAACGGGTTTTCTAATCTATGCTCGCTATCTCATGATTTCAGCCGCTCTGCTCGTCCCGTGTCATATTTTCTTTGGTTCAGAACAAGCTTAATATTTTCACTGGTGCGCTTGGGTCAGTTCAGCACCTGGATCCTTTTTCCTGCTGAGCTATTGTCGTTGTAAAAATGCAGAATGTGTTTTGGTACTTTTTGCTAAAATAAGCAAAGCTTTAATTTATAGTAGATGCATCTTTTTGTAAAGTAAGATGTAGTTTGCAAACACTTGGAATAAACTCTTGTGAATCTTCCATCTTTTTCTGGGATGTTCAACCTTGTTAGTTGTGAACTGATCTAGTGCGTGTTTTCTTTAGTATTACATTTTTTTTTCAGTGTTGTTTTTCTAATTTAAAAACACACACACACACACAAAAAACTTTAATGTGTGTTGCTGACATTATTTTAATGGTCTAATTGTTTGTTTGTTTGTTTGTTTGTTTTTTAAAAACCAACAAACAAACAAAAAGACCCCCACAGAGCTCATAATTGCCCTTTAAAAGAAAAAAAAAAAAAGTTTTTGTTATTTTTGAACTAAATACAGTATGTAAATCTAAGTCATCAAGAATTTCAGTTGAATTTCACCCAGAGTAATCCGACTACACGGCTCTTCTTGATGTTAAAACATGCAGCTTGAAACCTTGAATTGAACTTTTTATATTGTAAACTCAATTAAAATACGAGACCCATTTGAGATTTTATGCCGTTTTAACCAGCATCGCAACTTTTCTGCTTATGTGGGGTTTTTTTGTTTAAAAATCATGTGAAATTCCCAGCTGTTCTCACACGCTGTCTTATTTGTTGAACCTGAAGGTGGTACAGTACAAGCAGCAGTCCAGGCTAGAGGAGAAGCGGAAGAAGGCGTTGGACCTTCAGCTGGACTTCATTGTTGGCCAGACGGAGAAATACTCGGACCTCCTGAGCAAGTCCTTGGCACCCATCAGGCCTGCTGAGACCGTCGTGTCTCCACAGAAATCCCTGCCTAATCCTGTCGAGGAGGATGGTGAGAAGTTTTCCCTTTAAAGAAAACCTTCTTCTTATCGTTAGTGCTCACTGCCACCATGTCGCAGACAGCTTTCAGAGCTGATTCACTGGTTCAGACTGGGACGTTGTCATAGCTACACACCAGTGAGCGAATCTTCTCAAGCGTTCAGAGGTAAACTGTTTCATAGGAACAAAATGCGTTCTTCACCGTCAAGGTCGCTACATCTTTGTAAGATTAAACCGCATTTTCTGCGAGCCCTCTCTGGCTGATGAACCTCGGCTTGGTTTAACATGATGAGAAGTCAAACATTTGTCACAGCAGTTACACATTTTTATTTTTTTTGGGGGGGTGGACCACATCCAGAGCGCTGTACCTAATGCTCTTTGGCAACCGTCAGACTTGAGACCCATCAAACCTGTCAGACTTGTCTGCCGCCAGTATTACCGTTGGCAGCTTATTCCTGAAGCACTGAGGTGAGCAGCTTAATCTGAAGCTGTGTTTCAGTCAGAGGAGGAACAGACGTAGCAGTGGTTCTGATCCCACCTTCATTTCATTACCAAATACGGGTTTGTTGGTGCTAAAGTGCGAACACAGTCTGCTTAGCTGTGAAGAAGCTCACAGCACTGAGACCAAAACTTAAATTTTCCTTCTGCCTGTAGCTGAAGCCTTGCAGTAGCTCCAGCTGTGGCTTTTGTGTGTTAAAATCAAAATAGGAGACACAAACCAATAAGTCTTTAGTTAAGAAAGAGAAAAAAAAGATAGGTAGGTAGGTAGGAATAGAGCAACAACAAAACCCCCCCACCAGACACAACAAACTGCTGCTCTTAATCAAGACATGGATTTACATCAGCCTATTCTAGAAACTAAAATAACATGTTATATTTCAAACAGTGTGTGCTTATCATACTTTTGCTGTTTCTTTTATCTGTGACAGATAATCTGAAAGATATCTAATGTATATAAAATGCTGTCAATCATTTTTATGTTTAAAAAAAAAAAAAAGTTCAAATGGCTGCATATTATTTTATTTTATTTTTTTTTAAAAACCATTTGACACATTTATGCCTCTGTTCAAATTTAGTCTAAATCAAACTTCTGTTTTTTGGATTTATAATACTGAAAGTATTTTCTGCAGACTTGTATTTAGATTAGTTAAACATCTGTTGTGATGTTTTGCATGACTAACAGGCTGAGAGTAGCAATATTTACTGCTGCAGAAGCTTCAAAGCAGAGGAAACTGTATAAGTGGGTATGATACACAAATAAAGCCACTGAAAACAAGTATTCCTGTATGAAATATATTTGCTTGAGGGGTTTAAAAAAAAAAAAAAAAAAAGTAAAATCCTTGTTTCAGTTTGCAAAATGCTTGGACTGCGTGGTTCCCATTCATCAACTATCCTCACAGACCATCTGTAAAATGCAAATAATCCATAAAAACTTCTTTTAAAAAGTATATTTAAGCGTATATGAGAGGAAATTCAGTCTTTTTCAGTGTGTATGTTTGAGATGGTGTTTTTTTTTTTTCTCTTTTTGACTTTGCAGTTTGTCTAACTGTGTTCTTCAGAATAAAGTCTTTTTCCAATACCAAACCCTTTGTTTTCATGCAGACAGAGACTTTGAACCTCCCTGTGAAGAGGAGGATGATGAAGAGACCATAGAGGTGGAGGAGCAGCAGGAGGGAAATGATGCTGAGAGCCACCGGAGGGAGATTGAACTGCTGAAGGAAGAGGGCATGCTGCCACTGGACCAGCTGCTCAGCAGCCTCAATCTGCCTCAGGTAGGTCCACAAACCAGAGGGCAGTGATTGTTTTCTGAAAAGAACAAAAGTACTGCAACCATCCAGAAACAGACCAACTTCACAGATGTCCTCAATTTAACTTGGTTATCTAAATTTGTGGTTTAAATATTTATATCTGAAAAGTTGAACAGCCTACAACTTGAGCTACTTTGTATTAGAGATGGACCGATCCGATATTACCTATCGGTATTGGTCCGATACTGACCTAAATTACTGGATCGGATATCGGAGAGAAATAAAACATGTGATCCAATCCGAAGTATCACAAAATCACCTCACAAAACGCGCTACTTGGCATAACCCAGCTCAGTGCATCGTATCAGTATGTGTCACGTGATAGAGCGGCTGTTGTCTGCGAGACCTGTCGGTGGTCTGGTGGAGCATGTGGAGCCTCGCTACATGCTTCCAAACCGCGGCATTTCATCTCAGAGAAAACTATCCCAGAGAAGTAAAGCAAGTGTGTAAGTGCATCTCTGAATGTTTGCATAGTATTTCCACGTTAAGCTTAACAACTGATATATTGAGCCATAGCTGGACTGACCATCGGAGTTCCATATTGAGGCGAAAAGGAAGCAATTTGTCCATTACTTCAGCTACAATGGGGGAAAAAAAAAAAGGGCACAAAGCTGGAGTTATTCTGTCTTTGCTGCACAGCTGCCTCTTCTCTCATTCTCTCCCCCTCCCTCCCCTGTTGCTACTTCAATCATGAAACTGATCAATGATCAGCTGGTTGGCTTTTCTGTCGCAAGTCCCGTCTCTCTTGTTTGTTTATCGCCCACCGTTTGGATATGTGGTGAGAGGGAAACATAAAAATTAATCCAGGAGATGTTCTTACTGAATCATCAGCTGAACAGTGATGGACAAACAGGATTACCTTTTATGTGAATGAGTTGAAGGGAAGTTATGAACTGTTTCTGAGAGACAAATAACACCAGGATCCTTTTCTACGTAGCTGACAGCTGGTAACTTTGCAGGGGCGGATCTAGCAAAGTTTTGCTAGGGGGCCAGGTAGGGCATTAACAGGGAAAGGGTGGGCACAAAAATACTTTTGTTTGTTATTTCATTTAAAATGACTAACTTTTAATAAATAATTATCTGAATCTTACAACCAAAGTGGTCATCTGATTAAATGTATAGAAATCCATTATTGTATATAGTAACTGTTAAGTCTAATATACAGTGGGGCAAAAAAGTATTTAGTCAGCCACCGATTGTGCAAGTTCCCCCACTTAAAATGATGACAGAGGTCAGTAATTTGCACCAGAGGTACACTTCAACTGTGAGAGACAGAATGTGAAAAAAAAAATCCATGAATCCACATGGTAGGATTTGTAAAGAATTTATTCGTAAATCAGGGTGGAAAATAAGTATTTGGTCACCTCAAACAAGGAAAATCTCTGGCTCTCACAGACCTGTAACGTCTTCTGTAAGAAGCTTTTCTGTCCCCCACTCGTTACCTGTATGAATGGCACCTGTTCGAACTCATCATCTGTATCATCTGTATCTGTATAACTCCAAACTCCGCCATGGCCAAGACCAAAGAGCTTTCGAAGGACACCAGGAAAAGTATTGTAGACCTGCACCAGACTGGGAAGAGTGAATCTACAATAGGCAAGCAGCTTGGTGTGAAAAAATCAGCTGTGGAAGCAATCATCAGAAAATGGAAGACATACAAGACCACTGATAATCTCCCTCGATCTGGGGCTCCACGCAAGATCTCATCCCGTGGGGTCAAAATGATCATGAGAACGGTGAGCAAAGATCCCAGAACCACACGGGGGGACCTGGTGAATGACCTGCAGAGAGCTGAGACCAAAGTAACAAAGGTCACCATCAGTAACACACTACAACGGCAGGGAATCAAATCCCGCAGTGCCAGACGTGTTCCGCTGCTGAAGCCAGTGCATGTCCAGGCCCGTCTGAAGTTTGCCAGAGAGCACATGGATGATACAGCAGAGGATTGGGAGAATGTCATGTGGTCAGATGAAACCAAAGTAGAACTTTTTGGTATAAACTCAACTCGTCGTGTTTGGAGGAAGAAGAATACTGAGTTGCATCCCAAGAACACCATACCTACTGTGAAGCATGGGGGTGGAAACATCATGCTATGGGGCTGTTTTTCTGCCAAGGGGACAGGACGACTGATCCGTGTTAAGGACAGAATGAATGGGGCCATGTATCGTGAGATTTTGAGCCAAAACCTCCTTCCATCAGTGAGAACTTTGAAGATGAAACGAGGCTGGGTCTTCCAACATGACAATGATCCAAAACACACCACCCGGGCAACAAAGGAGTGGCTCCGTAAGAAGCATTTGAAAGTCCTGGAGTGGCCTAGCCAGTCTCCAGACCTCAACCCCATAGAAAATCTGTGGCGGGAGTTGAAAGTCCGTGTTGCTCGGCGACAGCCCCAAAACATCACTGCTCTCGAGAAGATCTGCATGGAGGAATGGGCCAAAATACCAGCTACTGTGTGTGCAAACCTGGTAAAGACCTATAGTAAACGTTTGACCTCTGTTATTGCCAACAAAGGTTATGTTACAAAGTATTGAGTTGTATTTTTGTTATTGACCAAATACTTATTTTCCACCCTGATTTACGAATAAATTCTTTACAAATCCTACCATGTGGATTCATGGATTTTTTTTTTCACATTCTGTCTCTCACAGTTGAAGTGTACCTCTGGTGCAAATTACTGACATCTGTCATCATTTTAGGTGGGGGAACTTGCACAATCGGTGGCTGACTAAATACTTTTTTGCCCCACTGTACACCCTAGTAAGCTATAGTACTTTTTCCTTTGGGAAGGTACCATCTGTGCAGTCTGCAATTCTGTTGAAGAAAGATGTTCAATCTATTTAATTATTGTAGAAAAATAATTGATTTCTGTGCATTTGTTTTTACACGTGCATTAAATTAAAGTTGATTAAGCATTGTGAGGTGGGGGGTGGTTCCCTAATATTTTTGCTGGGAGTTGGCAACCCTATTTGTTAGGTTGTTTAATATTTCTGCTAAGTGCTCTTTAAGATACCAGAATAGGGATGATGGTGGAGGTTTAAGTTTATTAGATTGATCAGTTTTGCTGAACTATAAATTATTTTGGGTGCAGTGTATTTTTTGCATACAAGTATAACAGAATAGCTTTAGTGTTTTGTTTTTTAAAACTTGAGTATGAACTTATACAAAATGTAGCAAGATATTTATAAAAAAAACTGTCTTATTGATTACAAAATACGCTATATCGGATTCATATCGGTATCGGCAGATATCCAAATGTATGATATCGGACATAAAGTGGTATCGTGCCATCTCTACTTTGTATGTGTTTTGTTCACATTTGAGTAAAAATGAGCTATTAATAGTTCCAGTTTTTAATCTGTTAGTGGATATACAGACAACTACTAAACAACTAGACTGATTTGAAAAAGACAAACGTTTTAAGAAGTTTCCATGGTTTCCAAGCAAACTTGTGAGTAGCTAATGATGGACCGAGAATAATGATCTACTATGATGATCTTCTCTTTATGTAAAAATGACACTGAATCTTAAACATACTGTAAGTTAATTTGATTCAGTGTTGGTACAAATTCAGGCAGTTTGGAAACTTTTCCTCCCCAAACAGCTGAAATTATGGACCACGTAAAAAGTGAGCTGAGTCAAAGTATAGCACCTGAGTTTCTGCTGTTGTTTAAAGACCTGCCACTTTTATTTTGAGCTGCATCCCATTGTTGGATCTAAAGAGTCATTAAATAAAAAGGTAACAGTTGAGATTCAGTGTTTCTCACGTGGGTGATTAATGCAGGTGGACAGCCTTCTCTGTTTTATTTTGAAAGTTCCTGTCCCGTTTTTCCGGACATCCTTAAACTCCACTTTCTTGGACTACAGCTGCCAGCAATAGTCTTCCTCCTGCTCCGCTGAGTACCCGCAGTAGGTGGAGAGGAGGTTCAAGGACTACGGTTACCTGCTGCAGTCTGAGACTTTGGACTTGGAATATTTGTAGGAGAGCAGCTGATCATATTGCTCTCTTACGTGTCACAAACTGCTTGGCCAGTTCAGTATTTTCAGAAAGGAAACGTGAATTAAATGATTGAATTCATTTAAGAAAGATTCGAAACAGTTGGTAAACACTGACATTATCACCCACATAAACAAGCTGGTGAGCTGTAGCTGTGCATTTGATTTAACAGTAATGTGTTGTATAATTATTCATCTTCATTTTCACTTCAAATTAATTCCAGATGCTGTCATCTCACTGAGGACTTATTGAGCTTTATTATTTGTTTTTATAACTCATACAAGTCTAATTATGGGATGATTATACCTGAGTAAACACGCTGACACCTCTGTTAAAACGAGGTTAGCTGATAATGTGCAAAAGCTGAAGAAAAGCACATGTTTTTAATACTGACCACAGATTTCATGTATCACTGAATCACGGTGTTACGCAGGACCAGGGCTCGGACGAAGAATGCTCTGATGAAACGTCTTCATCAGAGGCGGGGGAGGAAGAAGACGGGGAATTCACTGCCAACGAAGAGGATGGTGAGATTGCTCCCAATATAACCTCCATAAAAACAGAATGAGACCTTTTACTGGATTTTTTTTTTTCTGCTCATTTTTTGTTTATCCAAGTTCATTTTTAATTGTCAAGAATTTGTTTTTCTTCTTCTGTGTTCACAGCTGAGGATGAGGAGGACACGATAGCAGCTCAGGAGAAGGTGGAAGGAAATGTAGATCATGCAGAGGAACTCGATGATTTAGCCAAAGAGGGTGAGGGCTTTATTTTCTACTGGAAGTGGTGCTAATTCATTGCATTGACCTGAGGTTTTATGAAGTGTTTGAAGAGCTTTCTGTCTCTTTAAAGAGGAAAGCAAGCTTGATGACACCTCTGCATTGCTGCTCTCTTTCTGCCTTTTTTAAAATTCTGTACATATGAATGAAATTTCATTCATTACTAGCTGCTCCCTGGTCTAAAATAAGAGGCTGCAGACCGGATCCTTGACGTGTCTCTACTTCCCTTCCAGGCGATATGAGCATGGAGGAGTTGCTGGAGAAGTACAAAGGAGCGTATGCCTCAGACTTTGAGGTCCCGTCTGCTTCTGGCTCTAAAGCGAGCTCTGATTCGGAGGTGTCTGGGGATGAGGAGGTGGAGACTGAAGAAGATGAGAGTGATGTGGAAAGTAACACTTCTTCCTCAGGTATTAAACTGCTCATAAAGACCCAAAATAAACTGTTTATCTCCCTCCACTCTGAGCAGAAGCTTTCAGAAAATGTTTTCTTTCTTACGTCTGTTTCAAGTTTGTTTTGCTGCTTTAATTTATTATTAATTCATTAATCATTTCAAATGTTCTCCTCTCAGATTCACCAGGCGACAGTGCTGAAGATGAGGAGAGCGAGAAGGATGAGGAAGAGAGTGAGGAGGAAGACGAAGAGGAGTGTGGAGATGAAGGGATGGAGGTTTTGCTGAAGGAGGGAGACAGCAGCCCGTCTTCCTCTGGCTCGCGGCCAAAGAAGGAGATCAGTCACATTGCTGCTACTGCAGAGAGCCTGCAGCCCAAAGGCTACACTTTGGCTACCACAAAGGTCAGTCTTTAAATATTAAAAATGTATATTTCAGTCATTTTATCAGATGGAGGAAAAGTGTAGATTAAACTCTTCTGCAGATCTGAGTCACAGTTGTTTCAACTTTCTCTACAACTTAAGGTCAAGACCCCCATTCCATTTCTGCTTCATGGCACATTACGAGAGTATCAGCACATCGGTCTCGACTGGTTGGTCACCATGTATGAGAAAAAGCTAAACGGCATTTTGGCTGATGAGATGGGCCTCGGCAAGACGATCCAGACTATTGCTCTGCTGGCTCACCTCGCCTGTGAGAAAGGTAACAGACTGCGGCTTCTTATATGTACAGAGTTACAAAACTTTGGTTGTTGGAGTGTTATTTGTGATTAATACACTGTCCTGTTTCATTTGGTGTTATTAGGTAACTGGGGCCCTCACCTCATCATCGTCCCCACCAGCGTAATGTTAAACTGGGAGATGGAGCTGAAGCGCTGGTGTCCAGGGTTTAAAATCCTTACGTATTTTGGCAGTCAAAAGGAGAGAAAGTTAAAGAGACAGGTACTCAGTTTGCTGGTTCTGCAGGCGGCTCATTTTCCTTTGTTAGATGAGTGTGATGTGCTGCTTTGTCTGCTCTCATTTACTTTTAGTCTCTCCCTCCCGGCTTTACTGCTGTCATCTGTGATATACTGCAGATTGTTCTTGTCAGTCTTTAACTCCCCGTGTTACTTATCTGCTGAGTCGTCTTGTTTATCAATTGTTTGTTCTTAGTTTGCCTGCTGCTTGACTTACTCTTAATAATTTTGTTTCTCCTTACATACTGCTGTCTTAATTTTGACTGTGGCTTATTTACAGTGATGTAGATTAGTGTGTATCCCAGGAAAAACAGAGGCACTGATCCAGCTTTTATATATATATATATATATATATATATATTTTTTTTTTTTTTTTTTTTTAACTCAAAAGTACAGTTTTTAAATTTAATGTTGCTGAAACAAAAGTAATTAAAAAAAAAAAAAAAATCTCAGGGCTCTCAAAATTTCAAAATCCCTGGTAGCTCTTCGGGCTGGGACTCTTCAGTTTTTGGTAGCCCAAAATAAATGTAAGTAGCCTGAATAAAAAAGAGAGCAATTTTTTGATTGATGTTTTGTTTCCTGTTTTGTTTCCTTTACAATATTATACATTAAAGTATAATATTGTAAAGGAAACAAAACATTAATCAAAAAATTGTTGAAAAACAAATTACAACATTGTATAAAAATTACAATCATCAACTCAAATACTTGGTTCTAATTGAACAGAAATTTCTATGAACTTGTAAGAACTGTGTAGGACATGAATCAGTCTGTGTCAGATCCTGAATTTGAAATTTCCACTGAAGTCACGGGTAAGAGACAAGTGGAACCAAGATTGAGGCCATTTGCTTTTTGACGTTTGCAAAGACTGCTAAATTTTGCCAGTGGTAGTTCACTCTTTGCAACATAGTAGCTGTTCTAAACAGATTTTTTTAGGTTTATTTTTAGTATGTTATTTGCAATTGGTGTTTGTTCTGGGAAAGATATTGCAGACTGAGCAATAATGCATTTCTCATGGGTTCTAATGGGGGCCTTTCTTAAAATGACTGGTCCCAGTAACAAAGGCGCTTGTCGACTCAGAAATCGAGAGAAAACCAACAACACACCCGGCAGAACATGTGCGCATTCGCTGACAAAATAAAAGACGCGCACCAGATAAGAAGTTGCAACGCGCGTTTGCGTCCATATAAAAAGCACTGTTTTTGTCCGCTAGAGTGGGATTTTCACGGCACATTCCGCACCACATCTCTGTACCACATCTCTGTGCGTTCATCATTTGTTTGAAGCCAGCTCACCTCCTGCAACCACTTTTCCGAGAATACGTGCTTCTTTTGTGGTTCGGACTCCTGACATTTGTTTGGAGGTGGAGGGAACACCAAAGTAATTGCTTAAAGGAGCTTCTTCGACATCTTTAAGAGTTCTAAACAGATGTCTGTCCTCCTCCAGAAAATCTTATGTATGCAAACACGCGTTGCAACTTCATATCTTGTGCGCGGTTTTTTTTTTTTGTTGTTTTTTTTTGTGACAGCGAATGCGCACCTGCGGACCACTTATGTGCATCCCCGGTTATATAGCTCGTCATATTAAAGCCACAGAAATTCTTTTGTCCATGAAACCATAAAGCTGCACTTTCTTTTTGCCTTATAGTTTGATTTGTCATAACTTTTCCGTTTTGTGGTAAACTTTTCTTTGGCTGTCACTTCTTCACCCTGACCTGTCTTATTTGGCTCAGCAGAACTAAAATATATATCCTGCTGCTTTTACACACACACACACACACACACACACACACACACACACACACACACACACACACACACACACACACACACACACAACGGTCAGCGATTCTCTGCGCGATCAACCTCTCATATGTTTAAGCTTGCTGCGGGAGATTTCACTTGTCATGTTTGCATAGTAAGCTAACGATTGATAATACCATGTCAGAGGAATTGGTGCGCAAATTATCATCACTCACCAATCAGTGCTGTCGCTCTCTATGCACAGTTCGCGCGATTGCAAAGTGAAAGCAAAAAACAAGCGCAAATTCAAACGCGATTTCAATATGTCACATATTGACAGTGGCTCACCGAAGCCAATGACATAATTACCCAGCTACATTTCCGAAAGAATGCAAAAGCATTGACATATATTTTTCCTTCCTACAATGTCGCTAGCCCCGGGATGTCAGGCAGGCGATTTTGCAAGCCCTGTATCTGATTGAGGAATCACTCATCTTTGGAAAAGAGAGTTTATTACAGAGAAATGGCTCTTTCCAAAATAAAAGCTATACTATACGCTTCTTCTGGGCTATATTCTCAGCAGCATATTGTAGCGGGTCAGGGCTGTTCCGGGTTCTGTTTGTACAGTTATGTTTTGTTTATGTTGCCATAGTAACGGGTGACGCCCTCTCGCTACGACGGTGTGTCCTTCCGGGGTCAGAGGGCGCCCTGTGTGTTGTTGTTGTTGCTGTGCGGTTTCTGCGATGAGCAGTTAGCTAGCGGCAGTGTTCTTCTGCAGATGTCAATAAACGGCTGTGCTCCCTGGCTAGCTCACGGGAAGCAAGACCAAACAACACCTCCGTCTCCTCCTTGTCTGAGCTCGCCACATTGGTGTCAGAAGTGGGATGATGGTGGCACCCCATGTTCTGACCCGAGTGACTTTTTCCCCCGCCGGTCGTGACCGGCCGGTGCGCCAAAAGAAGGCACCTGGACATTTGCAGGACTTTGTGTGGGGTAATGGGGTCGTCGGGGACGACTGACCCCTTAGGTGGGGGCTATGTATTGGGTCAGGGCTGTTCGGGGTTCTGTTTGTACAGTTATGTTTTGTTTATGTTGCCATAGTGACGGATGACGCCCTCTCGCTGCGACGGTGTGTCCTTCCGGGGTCAGAGGGCGCCCTGTGTGTTGTTGTTGTTGCTGTGCGGTTGCCGCAATGAGCAGTTAGCTAGCGGCAGTGTTCTTCTGCAGATGTCAAACGGCTGTGCTCCCTGGCTAGCTCACGGGAAGCAAGACCAAACGACACCTCCGTCTCCTCCTTGTCTGAGCTCGCCACAATATTAAACATATCAGGTCCCCATAAGGAGAATCATGTGCTAACGGCTGTCTAAATGACTCGGGTAAAGTTTGTAGCATGCATGCTTGTTTTTTTTTTGTCTGCTTCCACTTGTCTTTGCACTAGGATGATGTCAGCGTAAATGTGCAGTCATATTCGTTGTGTTCCCACTAGTGCTGTCAGCGTTAATCTCGTTGAAATGTCGTTAACGCCACAACACGGCAAATCTCCGTTAACGAGCTACCCTTGATCGCCCCGTGCATGGGGCTAGACGGCCAACACGTTAACGAGCTAACTGCGCTAACACACTAGTCCCCACCCTTGTAATTGAGGATTGCGTGGCACATCCAACATACTGTTTTACTTTAGGCCATGACGCGCTTACCTTCAGGGTCATACCTCACATGAAAACCAAAATAATTCCAAACGCCAGATCTGAATGAGGGTGGGGGAGGTTCAATTTGCCATGTTGCAAGGAGAGCTTAACTTCTGTCTCGCTAGCTTGCCCTGCGCTCTTCCTTCTGATGATGCTGTCTGTGTTGAACGCTCAGTGGATCTGCGCTCGACAGTGCAGCCTAGGCGGAGTAGTCGAACGCAGATTCACTGAGTGCTCAACACAGACAGCATCGTCAGAAGGAAAGTTGATAAAATAAATTACAAATTTTGTATTGTTCGATTCATATGCGTACCGAACCGAAAGCACTGTATCGAACGGTTCAATATCGATACGAGTATCGTTGCACCCCCCCCCCCCAAAAAAAAAAAAAAAAAAAATTATATTCGTCGAAGAATCCATAGGTCCGTCATCCTATTCATGTAGCCCCTTCCGCCGGGGTTACTTGCGTAGTAGCATTCCAACAACGCCCTGTTTTCGTCCCTTGCCCACCGATGCCTTCTTGTTCCAGTAGCCCACTTTTCGTCAGGGTGCCCTGGTTCCTCAACACCTGACGCGGACCTTGTTGATCCGGGGACGTCCGAGCCGGCATGCCTTCATATCTCGCTCATGTCTGCGGTAGGCTTGCTTAGCATAGGGGGTCTAGCCTTAGGACCCTTACTGGATACAGACGCCCCAGGCAGGAATCGAACTTGCGATCCTCTGTTCCAAAGGCGTGTAGTCTAACCACTACGCTATCCAGCTGCTACGAATAAGGTGCCTAAGAAATACAGCAAGCTGTCCATACCTGAGGCCTTGGAAACTGCCAAGCAAAGACTCACAGCCTTGGCCAGCCGCTTGAGGAGGTACACCAGAGAGATAGAAGGCAGGAGAATAAACCAGCTGTTCTCCACAGAACCAGCAAAGGTGTACTCTCAGTGGCAAGGGAACAATAAGAGAACAGCACCACCAAGGCTGGAGACGGAGCAATACTGGAAGAGCATATGGGAGAAGGATGCAACCCATAACGGCAATGCTCAGTGGCTAGAGGATCTGAGGGCAGACCACAGCGACCTCCCTGAACAGGGTCCAGTAACCATCACAGTGGCAGATATCCAAGAAAGGGTCTCCAGTATGAAGAGTTGGACAGCACCAGGGCCCGACATGGTTCACGCCTACTGGCTGAAGAAGCTAACTGCACTCCACGAGCGTCTGGCAGCACAAATGAACCAGCTGCTAGTTAACGAGAGACACCCGGAATGGCTAACTGAAGGCCGGACGGTCCTGATCCCCAAGGACCCCAAGAAGGGACCGGTCCCCTCCAACTACCGACCAATAACCTGCCTCAGTACTACATGGAAGCTCCTGTCAGGCATCATATCGGCTAAGATGAACAGGCACATGGGTCAATACATGAGCGGGACACAGAAAGGAATTGGCAAGAATACCAGAGGCGCAAAACACCAGCTACTGGTAGACAGAACAATCAGCCGAGACTGCAAGACCAGACTGACCAACCTGTGCACTGCCTGGATTGATTACAAGAAGGCCTATGACTCAATGCCCCACAGCTGGATACTGGAATGCCTAGAATTGTACAAGATCAATGGGACCCTAAGAGCCTTCATCAGGAACTCAATGGGGATGTGGCGTACAACACTAGAGGCCAACTCCAAGCCCATAGCACAAGTCACCATCAAGTGCGGGATCTACCAAGGAGATGCTCTGTCCCCACTGCTGTTCTGCATAGGCCTGAACCCCCTCAGTGAGATCATTAACAAGACTGGCTACGGATACCGACTACGGAACGGAGCAGTTGTCAGCCACCTCCTGTACATGGATGACATCAAGCTGTATGCCAAGAGTGAACGAGACATCGATTCACTGATCCACACTACCAGGCTATACAGCAATGACATTGGAATGTCGTTCGGACTGGAGAAGTGTAGTCGGATGGTAACAAAGAGAGGGAAGGTAGTCAGAACTGAGGGGATTGAACTACCAGAAGGCAACATTGCAGACATAGAGGACAGTTACAAGTACTTGGGGATCCCGCAGGCGAATGGGAACCATGAAGAGGCCGCTAGAAAAGCTGCAACCACCAAGTACCTGCAGAGGGTCAGGCAAGTCCTGAGGAGTCAGCTGAATGGTAAGAACAAGATCCGGGCCATCAACACGTGATCAGGTACCCTGCTGGGGTAATAGGCTGGCCAAAGGAGGAGATAGAAGCCACTGACATAAAGACAAGAAAGCTCCTTACCATGCATGGAGGGTTTCACCCCAAGTCCAGCACCCTGAGGCTGTACGCTAAGCGGAAGGAAGGGGGCCGGGGACTGGTGAGTGTCAGCACCACAGTCCAGGATGAGACAACGAACATCCAAGAATACATTGGGAAGATGGCCCCAACTGACCGAGTGCTCAGTGAATACCTCAGGCAGCAGAAACCCAAGAAAGAGGAGGGAGACGAGGAACCATCATGGAAGGACAGAGCCCTGCACGGTATGTACCACCGGCAGATAGAGGAGGTGGCTGATATCCAGAAATCCTACCAGTGGCTGGACAAAGCTGGACTGAAAGACAGCACAGAGGCACTAATCATGGCAGCACAAGAACAAGCTCTGAGCACAAGATCCATAGAGGCTGGGGTCTATCACACCAGGCAAGACCCCAGGTGCAGGCTGTGTAAAGATGCCCCAGAGACAATCCAGCACATAACAGCAGGGTGCAAGATGCTAGCAGGCAAGGCATACATGGAACGCCATAACCAAGTGGCCGGCATAGTGTACAGGAACATCTGTGCGGAGTATAACCTGGAAGTCCCGAGGTCAAAATGGGAGATGCCCCCAAGGGTGGTGGAGAATGACCGAGCTAAGATCCTGTGGGACTTCCAGATACAGACGGACAAAATGGTGGTGGCTAACCAACCGGACATAGTGGTGGTAGACAAACAGAAGAAGACGGCCGTAGTGATCGATGTAGCGGTTCCGAATGACAGCAATATCAGGAAGAAGGAACACGAGAAGCTGGAGAAATACCAAGGGCTCAGAGAAGAGCTCGAGAGGATGTGGAGGGTGAAGGTAACGGTGGTCCCCGTGGTAATCGGAGCACTAGGTGCGGTGACTCCCAAGATAGGCGAGTGGCTCCAGCAGATCCCGGGAACAACATCGGAGATCTCTGTCCAGAAGAGCGCAGTCCTGGGAACAGCTAAGATACTGCGCAGGACCCTCAAGCTCCCAGGCCTCTGGTAGAGGACCCGAGCTTGAAGGATAAACCGCCCGCAGGGGCGTGCTGGGTGAAGAAATATATATATATATATATATATATATATATATATATATATTATTATTATTATATATATATATATATATATTTTTTTTTTTTTTAAGTTTGGATATCTGGGGTTTGGGGTTTCTGCTGATACGAGCACTGATCTGATACCAGTCTTAAATTAATAAGCTGGGTTTCTCTTTGTGAGAAAGAGATTCGGCAATCGCTCTTTTATGTGAAGGACAACATTATGCTTGCCTCAGTCAGGTTTCAGAGCAGCCAAAACATGAAAAACAACCTAGCACAGGGGTAGGCAACTCCAAACCTCGAGTGCTGGTGTCCTGCAGGTTTTAGATTTCACCCTGTGTCAACAGACCTGAATCAAATGATTAGTTCATTACCAGGCCTCTGGAGAACTTCAAGATATGTTGGGGAGGTCATTTAGCCATTTGAATAGGCTGTGTTGGATCAAGGACACATCTAAAACCTGCAGGACACCAGCACTCGACGCCTGGAGTTGCCTACCCCTGACCTAGCACAATAAAGTAAATCTCTAAATCAACCAAAATCTAACTAGAATCCAATAAGGAGTTTAATGAGGAAATCCAACAGAAGATTCAGGGATTCCTAACTTTAAAAACCAAAATGTAATAAATTAAAATGTCAAATCTAAATTTACTGGAGTGGTTTTAATTAGTAAAATAATCCAGGGTGGGACCATTAGTAACATGGTCCTCCTAAAATCCAAAGACAGACATGCTAATTGTTGATTCTAAATTGGTCGTAGATGAGGATGTAAGCATAAATGTCCTGTCATAGACTGCTGACCTGTTCAGGTTTTTCTCTACTGCAGCAGGTTTAGGCCCCCAAGTTTGATAAATGGTTAAGATGATGCGTGGAACTAAACTAAGACTGTTTATTTTATCCACCTAATTTATTTACATTCTTTAGTTCAGCTTCAACAGTTTGTCTTCATTTTTGATACAAGCCACAACACAAATGTTTCAGTGATTGTTTAAATTTCAGGAGTGCAGATACTGCAGCAGTTTGTCAATTAGTTTCTTGTTCACACTTCTTCCTTTTCCTTTTTAGCACTAAGACTGGGGTATTTATTTATATTTGCCTATATTTAGGGGTAGACTACAGCGAGGCACAAGTTAAAATGCTTACTGGTTACTGTGTTAATGCCAATACGTCACCCGTAACTGCAACACGAGCGACGTTACTGCATATTGTTGTCATTTAGAGTCTGTGCACCTCCTGCCAGAGCGACATAAAGATTGTATTAATCAAGTTTGCGACTACTGGTTATGCTAACTTAAAATAAAGAACTAAAAGCTTCCCAACAAGTGTTAAACCTGACATCATACACTGGGGTCTTCTGGTATTTTCAGTTCCATAACTTTATACAGTTATGGATTGATTTGTTTAACTTTTCCCACCGATATGATTCCTGTCTTGCATTGACGAATTCCTAATTTCCAGCAACTGTTGACATGTTTGACAGATACTGTATAAAGTGAAAAACTGAGTGCTGGAAAATAATAAGCCACTCTGTTACACTTTCTCTTCTTAGGGCTGGACAAAGCCAAATGCTTTCCACGTTTGCATCACTTCTTACAAGCTGGTGCTGCAGGATCACCAGGCCTTCAGGCGAAAGTCTTGGCGCTATCTGATCCTCGATGAGGCCCAGAACATCAAGAACTTCAAGTCCCAGCGCTGGCAGAGTCTGCTGAACTTCAACAGGTCAGTGGAGACTGTTTGTGTATATGGGCCCACATCAGAGAGTGAAACCTGAGGCTCAGTGGATGAGGCATGGCCTCTGGATTTTTTTTACACTAAATTCCAAAGTAGTTTTTTGTTTAAAAAATAAATAAATAAATAAAAATCTTTTTTTTGCATTTTAATGAAAAAAAAAAGATTTATAGATATATTTTGGGGGTATTTAGACTCATGGACAGCAAACATGAATATTTGTATGTACAACTTCTGATTCTTATTGAAGAAAATCATCCTCCTTTCTCTATAATGCTTTCAAAGACATGGTGTCACTCAGTACCATTTGACTTTGAATGTATTTGAAATGCACTGAACTGTTAATCTACAGGCCACAGTTGTGTGTAAATATCTTCACATTTAAAAGTGTTTGTTCTTTTCAAAATGATTGTCATCATTTGGCTGGTGGCCGGGGCCAGCTGGTGGTAATTTCTCACTGTTGTGTGGCGCTCCAAAGAGCCTGGCGCTTGTGCACATGAATAGATGCACGCTCTGAGAACGCACACCTTTATACAGGCTGCAGCGATTCGCTCCGATGATAAATCAAGATTACAACATCATCAGTATGAGGATGTTTCACAGTACCGGCTGAATAGAGAAATACTTGCACAGCATATTAAAAAAAAAGATCCGTTAGAAGTTTGAGAGTGCCTCTCATGTTCAGCATCAAAATGTTGGTTTGTGAGCTTTAAAGCAAATAAAGATGTGCTGCAAGATGCACACTTCAGCGTGGATTGTGCACTAAAAGCTTTTTTAAAAATAATCTATAATCTAAATTGATACTCAGCCCCAGTGAGATGAGCGTAGCCATGCCGACAGTGTAACCGCAAAAATATTTCTACATGAACCTCAGGATTTCCCAGCAGGACGTGGTGTTATTTACTTCACCTGTCAGTGGCTTTAATGCTGTGGCATATTTGGGTTTTAAAAAGAGTTTTATGATTTAGACTATTCCAGCAGACAGAAACACGACTCCAAATAAATGGTTATGTTATTTGTTTGATGGATGTTATAAACTCTTTATGGGGTGAAGATTGCGTTCTCAGCTTGCTGCACCCATGTGGCTAAAATGAGTTAAAGCATGTTTGATATCTTTAGCAGCTGAAAACTCTTATTTTCCTCTTCGTACTCACCTGAAGCTTGAATGATACGACTTTTTTATTTACGTCTCTCCTCGTGTCTGTGCTGATCATAGCCACCGGCGACTGCTGCTGACAGGAACCCCTCTACAGAACAGCCTGATGGAGCTCTGGTCCCTCATGCATTTCCTCATGCCCCACGTCTTCCAGTCCCACCGCGAGTTCAAAGAGTGGTTCTCCAACCCGCTGACGGGAATGATCGAGGGCAGTCAGGAGTACAACGAAGGCCTGGTTAAGAGGCTTCACAAGGTGCTGAGGCCGTTCCTGCTCAGGAGGATCAAGGCTGACGTGGAGAAGCAGATGCCCAAGAAATATGAGCATGTGGTGCGCTGCCGTCTGTCCAAGAGACAGCGATTCCTCTACGATGACTTCATGGCGCAGGCATCGTAAGTTACTGACTCAGCAGGAGGAATTCAAAGTTAATGTAAATTTAGTTTGTGTTTTGAAACGTAGTCACCAAAAGAAGGTGAAACTGGAAAAAAAAAATGTAATTGAATTTGACCCTAAACCATCTGATTTACAGGACCAGGGAAACGCTGGCCAGTGGTCACTTCATGTCTGTGATTAACATCCTCATGCAGCTTCGCAAAGTGTGCAATCATCCCAACCTTTTTGACCCTCGACCCATCCAGTCTCCCTTCATCATGCAACCCATTATTTTCCACACAGCCTCTCTGGTGCATGACGCCCTGGAGGTATCTCCTTTGAAGGTAAGCCTGAAAATAAAAAGCTTTCATTTGTTCAGAAAGTTGAGCCTGATGGCGTGATTTTTAATCTATTCTAACTTGCTTTTGCATTCTCAGCGCTGCGACGTTTCCATGTTTGACCTTGTTGGTTTGGAGAGCCGCGTGTCCCGTTACCAGGCAGATGTCTTCCTGCCACGCTACAGGGCCAGTCGCCAACTAATCCAGGAGATCATGGAGTCCCCCGAACCTCCTCCAAGGCCCAAACCAGTCCGCATGAAAGTCAACAGGTAAAGGGGGAAAAAAAGAAAGAAAAGAAAAATGCAGATTTGGATACTTGCAAATTTACATGTATTTTGGTTTTCTACGTTACCTGTGTTACCATACCTGTGACATTTATTACATGATATAATTATTGTCCTAAGTGCAGTAGTTCCCATATTTTATGTGTGTCCTCTTTCAGAATGTTTCAGCCGCCTCCTAAAGGTGATAATCGCCCAGTTCTCCTGATGAACAAACCTACCTGCTCCGTCCCCCCTGCAGCACAGACCCCCAAACCACCTCCAGTCACTGAAGTCACCTCAGCTCCTGCACCCGCTCCTGTAGTTCAGCAGGGTAAGCAAGGAATGAAACACCCTTAAAAAGGTGAAACATAAATTTTGCACGTTTTTTCTAATGCATTTTTGTTAAATTTCAGTGGTCTGTTCAGTCGCATCCACTCCTCCTCGCCCATCTCTTCATCCTACCGCTCAAACTGCAGTGAGGTCCAATGCTCCAAAAGCGATGCTGACTGTACGGCCTCCCACTGCTCCCTGCACAGCCACTATCCCAGCTCAGCCGAGTCCAAACCCCAGCAATGTCATGCCCCAGAGGGTCCTGCTTAGTCCAGATATGCAAGCTAGGTTGCCTTGTAAGTACATTTATTTCAAAGCAGATAAGCTGTGATGTTGTTGAAGTATTATCTCATTAAAACTCTGAGCCTGGGGACAGTTTCATGAGCTCCTGTTCAAAATGTAAGTCTCGTCCATTTCTCTCTTTAGATGAAGCATATTTTGAGCGTCTCGGTTTAGATTTCAATTTAATGATTGTTTACTCATTTTCATTGCTGGGTAAAAACCACACAGGAACACAGTGTGTACTCTGCCTCAGGTTGTTTCTTAAGGTGCAGGTGAAAAATAAAGATGGCAGTGCTTAGAAAATCTCAAACACACTTTGCAACTTCTAAAAATGGATCAACCATTAACATACAAGAAAGAGATTAGTCTACTTTTAGTTACAGGAGTCTGTGTGTTCTGTTATTTTCGACCATTCAGTAAGAAAACAAAAGGTATTTGGGGGATTTTTATTAACTAAATGCAGTACAGGTCTCTGTCATTCATTCATAATTAAATTAATTTGTGGTAAAGTGAATGAATTATTATTTCTTACCTACGTGTCTCTTATTTTTCTTCCTAAGCTGGGGAGGTAGTAAGTATAGCCCAGCTGGCTTCTCTGGCAGGTCGGCCTGTGTCGTCGTGTCAAGGAAGCAAACCAGTCACCTTCCAGCTTCAGGGCAACAAGTTGACTCTGTCTGGAGCACAGATCCACCAAGTTCCAGCAGCTTCCTCACGCCCAGTTCAAGGTTGGTGTCTCCCACTAACTGTGGGTTTTCTAGTTTTCACCGATCAGATTTTATGGTTAGTAAAAGGTGTAATACCTCGTTTTGTTTGAACTTCAAAGTGTCATATTGCTGTTTGGGATAGGGGGCTGCTCAAAACAAGTTGTATTATCATTTTTACCTACATTTTGATGCCAGGATTACTTCTGAGTCAAAATATTCTATGCATGTTAATTAACAAGAAAACTTGGGTGCAATCATGTAAATATACTAAATTTAGCCATACAGGCCCTGGAAGTTTGATAGCATTTATCTATTGTGGTTATAGTTTAAATGGGACCAGGATATCCTTTGACCTCATTTTTATCTGATTTGAAATCAGACTAAAGATTAAAGATATTATATGTTTTTGGATTTTTGCAGAATCCCACTGCAGCTGGACTGCTTTATATTCAGTTATGCCAAAGTCTTTTAATCCTTCAATCAGAAGATAATCCACATTGGTCTGCTTCATTTAACTGATGACTGTTATTGTCCCATAATTGTGATTGATTTCTTATTTACATAAATCCCATCCCGTCCCATAATTAGGGAATAATTAAAGTCCTTATAACAGTCTGGTTCACTGTCACTCTACAGGTAATGTGATAAACCTGGTCCCCGGTGGCGTGCAGCATCACCTCATCAGCCAACCTGCACAGGTGGCTGTCCAGAGTACAGTCAGCACACACCCTGCAAACAATCCCTCTGCTGCCCCCCCTGCTAATCGCCTGCCACACAACACCACCTCTCAAGGTGTTAAATCCTTCTCCCTCCTCCTTTTATTTTAAGTATGAGACTTCCTGCTGGATATATGTAACCCATGTTTGTATATTTAATGTTTTTCAGTGTCCTCAACCATGGTGAGCAGCCCTGGGGTCGTGAAGATCGTTGTGCGTCAGTCAACAGGCAAGGAGGGCGGGCCTGTGCCCACCCTGGCTGTGGCCCCTTCCCCTCGTGTCGCTCCCCAGCCATCCCCTTCCCTGCACCCACACGCCAACACGACCCCCGTCAGGAACACCGCTCCACTGCAAATTGCCCAGCGCACCCCTGGTCCTGCTACCGCCCACTACACCATAGCTCCTCCCAGAAACCCTAGCTCAGCCCCGAACCAGCCCCAACCCCCTCGCCCTGTCCTCAAAGTAGTGCAGCCTCCTCCTCCATCGAGCACAGAACAGCCAGGTGAGAGAACGGGCTTGAGCTGTTATTCTCACTGAGCTGAAATTCAGATTGAATTCAGATGAAATGAAGATTGCATGACAAACCGAGCTGGGTCCAGTTTTTAAGCTTTATTTCTTCTTTTCCCTAACAACCTGCTGCAAGTTAATAAAATTTAATGTATAATGAAACATACAGGCATGCAAAAAGGTATTTTTAAGTAATGAAAATAATTGGATTTGAAATCGAATAACACAGAGATGCAAAAGAAGAAGAAATAAAAGTGAAATTGACTTTAAAGCAAATCCGTATTGAGTTTTTTACAGGAGGCTGTTTTCTCTTCTGTCTTTCTGCAGCTCCAGCTCAGGTGAGCGCCTCTTCTTCTGCTCCAAAGACCTCAGCAACACCGCGGGAAAGTAGCAGCAGCAGTCAGACAGCAGTTAGCACAAAGTCAAAGTCCAATCTGGGTGCAAAAGCCTTCCCTCCACCCAGGAAGGTGCCTCGTCCTGCTCCCCGTTCGCCTTTCTACATGGTAAGCAGTTTGTCCCTCTTGGACTTCACCTTTTAGATATTTAAAGCATCTGCAATCATTTTTTTTGAGGTGTTACCCAATACTTCTTCACCTAGTTAAAATAAATGCCCCCCTGTACTGAGACAATCTAATGTCCTGTTATTTTGGAACCATGCATCAGCGCTATGTAGACATGAACCGGGACGTTTCTAAACTGAAAAGATGCATGAAACATCAGTTTAAAAAAACAACAACAAACAAACCAAACTTTATGTGTGCCAAATCTCAGAGCGATGGAGTTGTAAAGACAAGTTTGATCATAGCATTCAGTCAGCAGGGCTCAGCTCACTAAAATAAAACTACATAATCAAAGAGGTTTCACTGTTACGCACAGGTATGGATTTGACATGTTCCGGCTTGTGATACTGGCTCCGTGAGACTTTTAGAAAAGCTTCCACAAAGAAAATTAAAGGTTCATTATTTTGCTTTTACATCAGGATAAGTTTGTTATACTCATAGCTGCCATACCCAAACTGTTCCAACAGGTTTTTGCACTTCAGTAGCCGACTTGTAAAAGTGTTTTTGAAGTCTTTATGTGGATCACAATGTTTAGATTAAGGCGGTATGGGAACATTAAAAACCATAATCTATGATCTTTAAATTTTATTGGTTAAATTGAAGCATGTCAATAAATTATATACATCTCTGATGCCAGTTTACCAGTTTGGCAATTTTTTTTTTTTTTTTTTTTTTTAATAATTGAAATTCATTCATCACCATCGGCATACAGCAATAAATGATTTAGCCTACCTTGTTTAGTAGACAATAAACTGGTTTTATAGAATAAAATGTCAGGCTCAATAAAACTGGATTAAAAAAGCTGACAAAGTGCAGTAAAACACCAGAACAGAAAACAGATCAGCTCAGTTTATCAGGTTGAAATAAAGTGTAAGTGTCAGCGTTTTTCCTCTCCTGTGGTGCAGACGGTGGTCAAGTTTATCAATGAACAATAAGTTTGTCATGTGAACTTCAAAGTAGATTTTTTTTTTTTTTCCAGTTTATTTCCGCTGCCCCCAACTGGTAAAGGAAATCAATTACAATCATTTTTTCTCCATTGTACATTTAAACAAGACTGAGCCTGATATACGAGCATGTTTTTCTTAAATATGCTGTCAACACTGCCCTGATTTCTGTAGCCTCCATTTACTTGTATCTCTTTACCTCAACAGTCATGGCTTGCAGACTCCGAGAAACAGCAGCACGACAGCCGGCTGGACTTCATCTTTCGAGTCAACGAACTCCACTGTGGAGCAAAGCCCATGTATGGTCAGGAGGTTCTGGACTTCCTGACTTTCCTGCCCGGTCGTCGTCCATCACCTGCTGCCCTGAACCCTCAGGGAGAGTGGGGCCGCTCTGGCCAGAGCAGCTGTCTGTATGCACAGCAGCAAAACGAGCACGACTACTGGTTTCACAGTCACGCTGTAAGAGAGGCCATCCACAGCATCGAAGGACGGCTGGAGCTGCTGAGTGACATCATAGACCGGTACTTAGCTTAACAGTCGTTTGGTTATTTGATATTACAAAGCTTCAGCTAAGGAGAAGGAGCTAACTTTGCTGTTTGTTTAGGTACACATTTGCAATTCCTCCAGTGGAAGCTCCACCCATCTCCATGCACTGCTGCCATCCTCCGCCATCTCTGAACCACAAGCAGGCAGTCTTCTCCTCCATGTTATCAGCTGAAGTCACGCCGCTCACTCGCAGCCTCCACCACGTCCAGTCCTATATGAGGACACAGTTCCCTGACCTGAGGCTCATACAGTACGACTGTGGTGAGTTCTCAGTGTGGTTTTTTGTTTTGTTTTGTTTTACAGAAAACCATGGAGCACCTTGTGGCAATCCACACCTACATCAGATACTCCTAATCACAAAATCTAAGGTTTAAATAAAAACGGTGTTGACTTGCAGGGGTGACACAAAGCAGGAAAATCCAGGACTGTCTAAGTATCCATTCTCACCTATAAGCCTTTGACAGGATGTTTGATAAGACTGTCATTTACTAAGGTGGGGGTCACCCACAGCTTAGATCCCATTCATCCCTCATCACTGACTCGATCCCAGATGCACACTGGCAACAACTTTAGCAAAACTCTCGACTGTACTGCAAAATTGGCACTAAATTTTCTTGAAATAGTATTTGGTTAGTCTTTTCTTTCCACCACTGTGTTTTATGCATAAAAGGCTGCTTCAAAGAGTTTACTCCATGTGCGATTATTAAATAATTTTATGCTCCTGCAGCTTGTTTTGCTTGCTGGTGGCTCATTTTGTGTCTTCTGTCTCCTGTTTTCAGGTAAGCTTCAGACTCTCCACACGTTGCTGCGAAAGCTGAAGGCGGGAGGCCACAGGGTGCTGATTTTCACTCAGATGACTCGAATGCTGGATGTGCTGGAGCAGTTCCTCAACTACCACGGACACATCTACCTCCGTCTGGATGGCAGCACCCGGGTGGAGCAGAGACAGGTCAGCAGTGATGGTGTTTTGATAGCGTAATCTTCACCTGTTCCGCTTCCAGGCAAGAACGAGAAAGCTGTAGTCTGTCTGTGATGCTCATTTCCTCTGTTTGTCTTCTGCACGCCACCACCAGGCGCTCATGGAGCGCTTCAATGCAGATCGACGCATCTTCTGCTTCATTTTGTCAACCCGCAGCGGCGGCGTCGGGGTCAATCTGACCGGGGCCGACACTGTGGTGTTCTACGACAGTGACTGGAACCCCACCATGGATGCTCAGGCTCAGGACCGATGCCACCGAATCGGCCAGACCCGCGACGTCCACATCTATAGGTGACTTTCTTTTTCCCTGCTTTTACTAAAAAAAAAAAATCCTCACATAAAAACTTTCCCAAATCAAAGCTCACTCCCTTAGCTAAGATTTAAGATGCTTTGTTGTCATTATGTAGTCACATAATGAAATTCCGTGTGGTAGTTCTTAGCTTAAAGTCAGACACAATACTATAAAACAGAGACAGACATACAATAAATAAGCATACACAATAGAGGACTCACAGACAAAAGACACAAAGAGAAACAAAAAGCTGAGAGCACAGAGCCGCTGCATTGAACATAACATATGTTGTCAACATCTGTTTGACACATACGAGCGTTCATCTTGTTTGACTTAAACTGATGAGCATCTCCTACCTTCTTTGCATAATTTCAGAAGCAAAAGCAACAAAAAAAAAAAGTAGGAATAAAAATCTAAAGTTTAAAATGGAAATTGGAGCTCAGTAGTCTCTGAATTTAAAAGATCTGCAGAATCTGGTTAAACGCTTCACACCACCTGGTCAGCACCAACCCATCTGGGTGTAGGGGGAGGTTTTATACACCCGATAATCATTGGCCCAGTGAAAAATAGAAATGTGATTTTTAAAAGACTAAATCGTTTTATGTTCCTCCTCAGGTTGATCAGTGAGCGCACGGTGGAGGAGAACATTTTGAAGAAGGCAAACCAGAAGAGGATGCTGGGAGATATGGCTATCGAAGGAGGAAACTTCACCACGGCCTTCTTTAAACAGGTATCACGTTTACACGGGGCCTTCTTTGTAAAATAAATGCCCTTCAGTCAAGCCTTTTTTTTTCCCTTCTTTCTTCTTTTGTGTCTGGATAAGCTCAGTGATTCATCTGTGCATGATTAATAGTTGAAAGGCGCTCAAACATGTGGGTGGGTGCTTGGTGCATAATTGAATACAGTCACTGGTATCATGTGAAGGGATGTTTTTCCAGTGCTGGATGACAGGCCGAGACCTCATCCCCCTTTTAATTAAATTTGTTCAAACTGTCTTTTATATAAATACTACTTGTGCTTTTTTTCTTCTTCTTTTTTTTTTTTTTTTTGAAGTATAATGGAGTTTCTTCTAATTGGTCTTTTTGAGTTTAGTGTGTTGATGACATTAAGCAGTTCAAGTGCCTCTTGTTTTCTCTGTCTCATCAAGCACACATAACCCGTTCTGCCTTTGCTAAATGTGTCCGACTGTCACTTTGTTCCTCAGCAAACCATCAGAGAGCTGTTTGATGTGAATGAGGGGGAGAAGAGGGAGGCGGCGGTGGAGCTGTCGGTGCCCCAGGCTGAGGAGGAGGAAGCCGTCAACAAGCAGAGCACCACCATCCTGGAGCAGGTTAGAAACTTGGTGTACTGGATATTTACCACCCACCTTTTGGTGATTACCAGGAACAAAATGTACGTTTACTGAAAGTCTTAGATGCAATATAAACTGAATCAGGTTTTTGCTCTCAGCCTATTGAAATGAAAAGCTTAAAAAAAAAAAAGATCTCCTGTTAAAGGTGATCTTCTTATGAACTTCTGGACTGTTTCAAGGACTTTTCAAGAATTTAGCGATTCCTTTATTGACATTACTCATCGATTCAATTCTTGCTTGATCAACACTGGGTTCTCATTGGCTCTGTTTTGACATCTAAGCAGGAACAAAGAAATTACATTCATGCAAATCAATTGTATACTGTGGGTCAAATGTTTGTTGAGGTATTTCCCGTCTTTGTTGTGATCAGTGTTCAAACTTTGCTCAAAAAAGTAATTATTACACAGAACACTTTTCTCAAAAGTAATGCAGTACATGACTTAATTACTCCTGGGAAAAAGTACTTTGTTATACTACTTGTCACATTACTTTCACTCTGCGTTCTTGGCTAGCTTAGCGTTAGCATGCTGTCTGGGCAGATTCTTTTAAAGAACCGTTGTTGGTTTTTTTTGTGTTAGCACCATAATGCAGTTGTTTCTGTCCTGGGTATGCAAGTTTCCACTTTACCGTTCATCTCGTCCTTTTGTACAATAAAAGTAAATGTTCAAATCCATGCTCTAGACTGCTTCGCTATTTTCCTCCTCTGACACAAACTGAAATCAGCTGATTGTGCAAGAACCGTAATTGAACTGGTTTTCTTCAATAACTGGTTCTCGATTCCCATCCCTAATGGCTCCCAGTTTTGTCGCTTGATCTAACACGAGAACTCCTGTCGTGTTCCTCCTCTACTTGTGCCCTGGCTGTACTTGAACTCTTGATCTCCTCCACCGTGTCAAATCCTTGATAATGCACATTTTCAAAAATGTTCTTGCACTGTGCCGTGTGCTGGGACGCACCACAGTTTAGATAATTTCTGCTGACACCCAGGGCTTAAAAATGAAGCCATCTGAGGCTGGCTTTGAAAGCAAGCCATCCCCATATTCATGTAAACATGTATATGAGGATGGCGATGGTGTTAAAATGCCCAAATTTACAGCAGGACTAAACCCATTTATAGACCAGTACAAAAACATTTCTGGACTCTATGGATAGTTTCATCCTTTTCCAACTCTGCAGGAGACGGAATTTATAATAACTCCTCCATCTGGTCAGGGTGTTGTAGCTGCTATTTCTCCCCTCCTCCAATTCCATTCACTAACCTGGACCACTGTTTGAAAAGAATACAATAGAATAACTTCGGAGATTCGACCAATTTGACTAGGCTAAGTTATTTGATTTTTAAAACCTGAACTTTATTTCACCCCTTGTACGCAGACATAATCCAAGAGTCAGGAAAAAGTTTAACTCCTGCCACATTTATCATGCTTGTGGACATTTACCTGATTATCTCCATCTGTTTGCTTCAGGCGCTGTGTCGTGCCGAGGATGAGGAGGACATAGTGGCGGCCTCTCAGGCCAAAGCAGAGCAGGTGGCCGAACTGGCGGAGTTCAACGAAAACATACCGCTTGATGACGGCGGGGAGCAGGAGGAAGTGGAGGAGCTCTCTAAAGCCGAGCAGGAAATAGCCGCACTGGTGGAGCAGGTGAGTAAAAACACATCGGCTATAAAAATGTATAATATAATAAAATATTAATGCTCTGCTGAATCTTTGAATTACAGTTTGTTTAAACGCACCTTTTCCTCTGCTTGTCTTTAGCTCACTCCCATTGAGCGCTACGCCATGAACTTCCTGGAAGCTTCGTTAGAAGATGTGTGCAAAGAGGAGTTGAAGCAGGCTGAGGTAAAATCACAACTTTCAACTTCAGCTTAATAATTAGTGATTAATACTTGAAAGTAATTTAGACAATAAAGGGAAAAGCAGGAACGAGAACTAGAAAATATTTGATTTCGGTTTAAGTCAAACATTTTTAACTTGATAAAACTTTAAATAAAATCTTCTCCTCTTGTGTGTTTAGGAACAGGTGGAGGCTGCCAGGAAGGGTCTGGACCAGGCAAAGGAGGAGGGCCTGAAGCTCCACACATCATCTGATGATGACGAGGACGACTTTTTGTCAACACCAACTTCTGCTGAACCCGCCCATCCAGCTCCAGCCCGTCGTGGTCGTAAACCCAAGGACAAGACTGCCACCTCTACAAGGACTAGCGGCCGACTCCGTGGGGCCTCGCCTGAAACTGAGCCTGAGCCCACGACTCCCAGAGAAGTGCCTGAAAGATCCCGCTCAGGTCTGAGAGGACGAGGAGCTGCCAAAGACACAGGTTCTGCGTCTACGATCCCATCCCGCACAGACCACCACAAAACGTCATCATCCACCCGGGTTCAAGATTCCTCCAAATCTTCGAAAGCGTCATCTCCCGCCAGAGATCACCAGAACGCCAAAACCAGGACTCAACCAAACCGCTCCCATCCTAGCCCAGTGCCTTCCCCTCCTACAGCCTCGCCCCCTGGTGGGAAACAGCAGTGTGCTGGGGAGACGGACAGTAAAATCTCCAAAACGGGGAGGGAGGAGAAGGAGGTGGAGAAGGAGAGGAGGGCGTCTGAGTCATCGCTGGAGTCCAGCTGTCCGGCGGATCATCAGACTAAGGATGATGACAGTAAAGACTGCGCCATGTCTCCTCCCTCCACCAGCTCACGGTCGCCTCGCAAGCGGCAGTCAGCTGACGGTGAAGTGCTGCGGGGACTGGTTGAAGATTCACCATCAGCCAAAGTTCTGCGGAAGCTCCCGGGCCGGCTAGTCACAGTGGTGGAAGAGAAAGAGCCACGAAAGAGGCGGCGGCGAGGAAGTGGGACGGGAGGTGGTTGCTCTTCAGAAGAGGCAACGGCGGAGGACAGCGGTGCTGGATTTGTTGACGAGCCAAACAAGGAGGACGCATCACAGAGCCCAGATGGCAAAACTAAAGAGACTGTTACCAAATCCCCTCTGGACCAAGACGCTACCCCAAGTCCGCCTGTGCACCCTCAGCCTGTCAGAGGCTATCCTCCATATTCCCCTCCTCATCTGTCTCCTGACATGCCAGTGCTGAGGAATCTTCCCGTGCGGCGCAGATTGGAAACCGAATCTCGTATGGCTGCCCAGATGGGAGAGCAGCATCTAGGGAGAGGACGGGGAGTGAACCAGTCCAAGAAAACGGACATCCCACCAGGCAGAGACGCTGCTTCCGCCTCTGCTGCGGAGTCCAGCGTGAACTCTCTCATGCCACCTTTGAAAAGAAAGAGGGGCCGGCCCCCTAAGACTCCCACAAGACTACCTGAACTTGACAACGCATCAACCACATGCCCACATCCCATCTCGGCAATTGAGGAAGGAAACCCGCCACTGTCCCCTAAACGTAAGAGGGGTCGTCCCCGCAAGGACTCAACGACCACGCTAGAGACCGTTAATGAGAGTCAGAACACTGATCTATCTAAAAGTGATTCCAGGACAGAACTGACGATCTCAGAGACCCCGCCTCCTGCTGCTATTTTTGAAATGACTCGGTCTTCACAGTCGACCAAAGCTGATCAGACAGACACTAAAATTGAGGCTTTGGCCCCGCCTCCAAATCCAGCCTCCTCAACAAAGTCAGATGAAGTTTCCACACCTGTCTCACTTCCCACTTCACCTGCACCCCAGGTGACCTCACTGATCTCTGAGACTGCCTCTCCCCAAGTGGTTGCTTCAGCCCCAGCTCCAAGTCCAGCACCAGCACCAGTCCTCTCTTCTTCCACATATACCTCCACCCCCGTCAGCAACACAGCTCCGTCTCCACCTGTCAGCGATGTCTCACCTCCTCCTCCAGGTGTTAAACCAACACTTGTGGTTTCCACAGTTTCAGATGCTGCTGTTCAACCAGCTGTGGAGGCAACCACCACCACAACCACACCAATTACACACTCCACTCCACCCACTACGTCATCTTTCAAAGCTGTTAAAGACCCCACCCCAACACTCACAACAGCTGCTACCACAGCGTCTGTAACAGTTAGTATTACACCACAAGTCACCACTGCAATGACATCACCTCCAACTTCTCTTGTGAAGGACTTGCCACAAGCCTCTCTAGCCTCCACACCCTCCAGTCATCCTGTATCGAGTCTGGATACAGTTTCATCCAAGCAGACCCCTCCAACTACACCTTCCCCCAAACAGACCTCCCCAGCTCCATCTTTACCCAAGCAGAGCCTTCAAGCTACAGCTTCGCCTAAGCAAGCCCCTGTAGCTACACCTTCCCCCAAGCAGACCTCCCCAGCTCCACCTTCGCCCAAGCAGACCTCCCCAGCTCCACCTTCGCCCAAGCAGACCCCTCCAGCTACAGCTACGACTGTGACAGCTCCAGTAAAAACAGCACAAACCAGTATGTTAGACTCAATCCAGACAGTGTCTGACAAGACTTCTACATCACCACCAGTCAAAACAGTGGCACCATCTTCTGGTAATACAGCTCCACCTTCCCCTCCAGCCAAAGCAAAGACAATTGAAACTGCTAACAAAAGCCCGACCGAACAAGCATCACCAACTGCAGAGGTTCAGGAACATGTAGAGCCCGAAAAGCCTTCAGCATCAAGTCCAGTCTGCACGCCTCCTCCAACTACAACTTCCCCAAGTGCTGTTACACCTGCAGAGGCAAAGAAGGCTTCAGCAGCTTCATCACCCCCAGCAGAAGGAGTAACAACACCTTCAACTGCAGCGCCATCCAAAGTCCTCACTTCTTCTTCTCCTCCCAAAACTGCAGAAAAGACTGACAAGACACCTCCGGTAACAGCTACAACATCAGCATCACTGTCTGTCACCATAGCTACATCATCACCAGAAAAGTCTGCTTCCCTAGGGTCAACAACCACAACCATCACCCCTGCTTCAGTAGCTACAGTCACAGCATCCACAACCAAAACAGCTCCACCCGTGTCCACTACACAAACCTCTGCAGTCACTTCCTCTCAGCTACAAACTTCTTCATCCACAAGTGTTCCTGCACCATCTCAGACCGAGGAAGCCACACCTGCTCCCATATCCGCTCCCTCATCCACTCCCCTCGTTGCACCATCTTTAGAGCCATCAACAGAGAAAGAGTCAGCTTCTAAAAGCGACCAAGAAGAGGTGACAGAAATGGAGGCTGAAGCTGCGATGAGTAAGGAAGACGACGACAAAAACTCAGACATTAGCCAGTCTCAGCCTAAAAGAAGAAAGGTGGAGAGTTCCTCTGAGACCAAAGAGTCAGGAAGGCCCCAAGGAGTGGGACGAGAAACAAAAACCACAACCCCCATTCCGAAAGATGAAGCTAACCCTCTGGAAGAAGAGAAAACTACTGAGGATCAGAAACCTGCTATCCAGAAAAGGTCACTTAGTCGCCAGAGTAGCCAGGAGTCTGCTTGCTCTTCTTCGCCATCGTCTGGGTGCTCTACCTCCACCCTCACCCGCCATGCCCACCACAAGAGGACCTACGAGAACAGACATCCTACCAAGAAGAGGCGAGTGGATCCTACATCAGAGGCAGGGAAGGAGGACAAGGAGGAACATGGCGAGGAGGAGGAGGAGAAGATAGAAGAGGGTAGTGAGACGGACCTTCCCCCCACTGCCTCTCGAAGGAGGCGCTCCAGGTCTCCTTCCTCTTCCTCCTCCGACTCTGACAGCAGCAACAGCAGGAAGGAGCACCGGCTCACTCGCTCAGCAAAACGCAGGCTCCAAGATCAGGAGAAGGAAAAGTGCACCAAGGACAGGAAGGGAGCCAAACCAGCACGCAGCTCGGACAGAAATGCGTCAAACAACGCCAATGCGTCCACAGGAGGAGAGTCGGGCAGCGATACGTCTTCTGTTAGGATCACCAGGAAGTCTGTGGGATCACAGCCGCCACAGGACACTAAAACGCTGACCAACAGCACGCCCTCGCTACCTCCTGAGCCAGAGGTTCTAGGGAAAAGGTGCTCAGCACTCAATGCAGCAGCCAAGCTTTTAGCTATGAAAGGCAGGGTGGACACCCCAGGCCACACACCTCGGAAAGACTCCACCCCTAAAGCTCCTGCGACTTCCACCACTGCCCCTTCGGACAAAAACCAAAAGCCTAAAAGTAAAAGTGTGCCAGCCTCTCCTCAGAGCAACTCTGTGACCAATAACAAAAGCAGCAAACCTTCAACACCCAATCAGGCGAGCCGATCTACATCACGCTCCACCAGACAGTGCCCTGGCTCTCTGGTTCCACCCTTAGAGGTGGAGTACAAGAGGCCTAAACCAGAGGAGAAAGAGAGAGGGAGCAGGAAGTCCTCGAGGGGCAAGGAAGGCGAGGGAGAGACGCGATCGTCGTCAAGGGGCCACAGCGCCTGCAGCAGCATGAGCAGCGATGGCGAGGGCGACTGCGGCGGACGCAGCAGCAGAAGCCGCAGCAGCAGCAACAGCAGCCAGCGCACCCTCAGCTCCCAGAACACGGAGCACCGAGGTTCCCGCTCCCGTGCCACTTCCTCCGGCAGCGAGCGGGAGAGGGACCGCAGCCCTGAGCGGGCAAAGAGCCGTGACAAAAAGGAGAAACAACACCGAGAGAGTCGCAAGGAGAGCAGGAGGTCCCAGAAGCTCTCGCAGGATGTGACCAGCAGCTCGGGAACCGAGGGGTCAACGCCAGACAGGGTGCTACGGAGTGTTGCTGCACTCGCTGCAGTGCAGGCCCGCTCACCGGCCGCAAGCACCCGCTCCTCCTCAAGCCAACAGCGTCACAATAAGACATGATTGGAGTGCCAAAGGGGAGAATTAAAAAAAACAAAAAAAAAACAGAAGCGAGGGTGTGGCGGAGCGTGATACGAGAGCATGACGTGATCTCCAAGGTTGCTGCTTTGTCTGCACTCTGAGGAAAAACAAGAGCAAACTGAGTGCTGCACAAGCCAGGGACCTCACCGCCTCTCGGGCCCTCTCCCTTTCTAGTCGGGGCACGCCAGCTCTGCTTTTGAGCGCTGGGGGAAGGCTCAGGGACGCTGGACTGACAGTAAACAGGTGGCGCCGCTGTCGAGCGTCCAGATATGTGGACATGCCGTGGATAAAACTCACCACTTGGACTCGGAGGGGGTGGGGCGTGGGTGGGACAAAAGGTGCAAGTTGTTAGTTCACATAATGTACTGTAATCATTAAAAGACTGGAACACTCAGATGCTCTGTTAAGACAGGGTTAACGGCGCCCTCTGCTGGGGTTACCCATGAAAAGTAATTTGTGTGACATTTAAAAGTCTCGAGTGAGCGGTTGTATTGTAAGTTGAAGGTTTTAGAAAGTTTGGTTTTGAGATTTTCTGTCCTGACTATTGTTTCTCTGTAGTCAGTTGATAAGTTATGCATATTTTATTATTTCTTCCAGGTTATTAGGAAGAGAACAGATCTGTCAATGTGATCTTTGCTGCACTATGCTGGAGCTCGTCTTTTTGTTTGGCCCCTCCTCTCCCCCTCTTTGTTTATTTTTAATTTTTTTTATTTTCTCCATGTCACTTTCTGTTCATCGGATTCGAAAATCCAGCCTTGCATTTCTCTTTTGCACATCTTTAATAACGTGGCCCTCGGCTTTTTTTCAGTACACCGTGGTGTTGTGATGCGTTTGTTCATCAACTGAAGTTGATGAATTGGTTCCTGGTACCTGACGATGTTTGTCTCCAGTTTGGAAAATGTATTATCTTTAGTCACACCACAAAATCCAGCTTTCATCCCCCCAAAACGTCCTAAAGGCAGTTTAAAAAATTACTTGTCACAAAAAGCCAAGTAAATGTTGAGAACTGAATTTAAGAGTGCCTCTGTGGCCAAATGGTTTTGAACCTCAGATTGCCTTGTGAAGCACCTGAAGCAGGGGTGTTAAATTTCTCTTATTCGGTTATTAAAAAAACAAATTAATCCAAAAAATGATGTGGGGAAAAATCCACCCCTTACATGAAACAAGAAAGGAAAAACACCCCGAGCATCAGTGCTACTGAATTAATGTTTCATTTTTCACCCGAACTTTGTTTTTCTCTCACATCATCGATTTTGGTTCATGTTTAAAAAAAAAAAAAAGAAAAAAAAGAAAAAAGTATACTTGGACAAAATAAAAAAAAAATGTGAATAAAATTACTGGTACAGTTTGAGATGACTGTAAATTGTTGATTTACTTTTGAGCAAAGATGATATCTGGTGGGGGGGCGGGGGGGTAGTTTATGGTGATGGTCTTACTTTGATTTCTGTCTCTTTTTGTTGCATTCCTTTGATCCTTGTAATTCCACATTGTTTTACTTGAAAATTATGGCAATTACAGTTGAATAAAAAGACCAAAAATTAGTTGAAATTTTTTTTTTTTTTTACCCCAAATGAAGATTTATTTCTGTGACCAACACAAGAAAGAAGAGCTGGAGCTCTGCAACCGTCTGCTGAGCTTCACCTTCTATTAGTGCGACTCACCGAACTCCAACTCTTAATGGAGTATCTGACAAATATGGTTTGCTGCGTAGCAGAAGTCATCCAAGAGGTTATTAGTTTGTTTATAGATGTAATCTTAATGCCTTCGCTTCCAAATATCATCACTTCTAGCTCCAAAAATGCAGTTGGAGCTAGAAAAAACAGTTGAAGCCAACAGACCAACTTAGCTGAGGTTAAATCCTGAAGCATGAAAAACTGGCAGGTCTGAAACATCTTCTGTATTTGTAACAGAGAATCAACTGCTTTTATGACGCGCTTCTGTTTTTATTGTAATACTTTTACTTGTTTTCCTAAATCTTGCCTCTGATATTTGCCCTCCATACTTTCACAGACTTAACACTAAGACCAATGAAAACTAAACTGAATTAAAACAAAGTCGAAATAGAATAAAAATTAACTAGAGAATAGAACTGCCCTCGGCTCACCTGATTCATGACCTCATCGGTAACATTTTTGCGGTGAGTTTATTGGCTCAATCACTAGTTTCAGCTCTTAAATATAAATCAGCTAAAGAGTTTCAGTGTCACAATTACTGACCTCATGTCTGGTTTCAAATCAGCTTTTTTCAATCATAAAAATGAAATGTTTGGTAAAATCCAAAATTGGTCTGTGTTAACCTGCATTTTTGTCCCTGTGGCTACAAAGGCAACAGCTGCTCTCTTAACAGAACAGGAAGGGAGGAGACCCTGACTTATTTTAATGAAAACTGCCCACTGACTTTTTTTCCTCCCACCAATCAGGATGGAAACACCCCACAGCTGAGTGTTCAGCAAGCTCGCCAACTTTAAAGCTTTCAGGGATGTTTTCCATTTTCCTGTGAGGTACAGTGTTCATTATTTCAAACCACTGTACACCCTGTGCATTAAACGGATCACAAAAATGCAGGTTAGGCAGGTATTCCAGACTTTGTCCTCCCCAGCAACGTTTTCTAGTTCTTCCTGGGGATCCCGAGGTGCTTCCAGGCTCCTTTAGAGGGCCAGCTGATAGTTCAAGACTTGCTAATCTTAAAAAGATACAAGGCAGACTGAGGATAATGGAACATGGCGGTATTTTATTTTAAAAACAAATGTATAATAAAATAAATGAGCGATGCAAAATTGAAACAGCCATAACTTTACACAGTAGCAGTGTCACTCCCCTCCATCCTCTGCCAGCCTTTTTCACAGCAACTTTTCTGCTTCTGAACGAGGCGTCAGTGAGAAGCCGCCTCTCAGTTTTGGTTAATTTTTTCTTTTTTAAATGGGTTTCATTTGTCCCCTTGGTGTATTCTGACTCCAAAATTTAGCAAAAAAACTGCATAATGGGACAAAAGGGTGAGAAAAAAAACACGTTGAAGTCTAAAATACATCCATCCCTTTTTGTTAATGCACGACGTCACATTTGCAAAGGAGAAGGCACCATTTCTGAAGACGTGTGTGTTGTTTAAGCAGGCGCTTGCACAACGTTTTGAGTCAAAAATGCAAACTGGAAGGACACAGGAAAGGGGAAGCGTTGGACCTGTACTGTTGAGAGACCTTATGCAAATGTGAAGAGGAGGAGGAAAGGGCGGAGGGTAGGGGTTATTTCACACACACATACACACAAAAAACAAACAAAACTGTATTTACACTTGTTACATGTACGCAGTATGAAAACAAAAACTTTGAAGTTTTAAAAATCATCTGCATAAATTTTTTATCACCAGCAACATCAGTTATGTACAATTATATTAGTCTATTTCCTGTATCCGACTATAAAAGGCCTACATTATAAAATTGTTCTTTAGGTCTCCAATTCATCCAGAACCATCAACGTTACAACACAGTTTTCCTGAGTACAGTATGACGAGTGCCAGTGTTTGATCAATACTGCTCTGTGCCCCACTCAAGGTCACTTAATTCCTCTTTTTTTTTTTGTTTTTTTTTTAAACACAGGAGGGGAAGGATCGACTGGTGTAACAGTCGACAGTGAGTCCCGCTGTTTGTTTTTGCAGAACAGAAACTGACAGAAAACGTGCGGCGCCGGCATCGAGCGCGCAGCACAGATTGTGAGATTAAACGACAGAGCACATCTCTTCCATACAACAGAAAAAGTGGAGAGTAGGACCGTTAGGCAGACAGGAGGGTTAGAGGAATAAAAAAAAAAAAAAAAAATCAAACTGAAATCCACTGACTCCGCTCAGCTGTACATCCTGTGAGCTGATGTATATGCATGAATGTGTGGATTTGGGGGTATCCATAATGTGCTTCTGCTAACTTGCACCACAGGGTGTTGCTAGGATGAGAAGGTGGTGACCAAGGCGATGATGATGATGAGGAGAAGGATGGCCAAACAGATTCCAATCCAGAGTTTTTTCTGCAGCGGGAGATAAGCACACAGGTTAGAGTCATTCCAGGAAAGAAAAATCAATCCCCCCCACCCCATCATGGTTTCAGAGTGGGGCCAATTTATAGTCTCCGACACACAGAAACAAGTACAGCGGCCCCTTTTTCTGTGGGATAGATCGCTGGTTATAATAAGTTACAGCATATGAGAGGTCTCATTTTAACCCAACATGTAATACCAGGCTTGTTTTCTAGCTAACAAAGGCGTGGTTTGTAAAGTTAACCTTGTTTTTTGTTTCCTTTTCTTTCTTTTGTGCATGAGCAACACACATCGTCTTTTTCCAATCACGTCATAAAACCAGAGCTTTCCCAACTGATCATCATGAGCCTGTGAAGCTTAGCTGGTGCCATAAAGTCTGACCAGATGGGGATTTAATTCAAAGAGTCAACACCCAAAGACAAGCTATTGTGTTTTCAGGGCCTGTAACTTGCACAACTTTTGAATGGCTTCAATAAACAAGCTAAAGTTGCTGTATATAAAAATCAGCTGATCGTGATCGGATCAGGTGGGAGATGCTCACTGATTTTATATGGGATGATGTGTTCAAGATTAAAGCAGTTTTCCTGCAAAGCGCTCAACCTCAAGCCAAGATTTAGTCACTTCTATTTAATTTTATTTACATAGCGCCAAATCACATCGGCAGTTTCCTTAAAGTGCTTTTTACTTTAAAAATTTAAAAAAAAAAAAGAAATCAGTATTTAATAATAAAACCATCCCCTTTGAGCAAGCACTTTCCGACAGTGGGAATAAAATAATCCTTTTTAACAGGAAGAACCCTGCAGCAGAACCAGGCTCAGGGAGGGGTGGCCATCTGCCCCGGTGGGACAAATCTGGATCTTGTTTATCCAGAGGGTCTCATTTCTGAGCTTAAAGTTGACCTGAAGCTGTTTGATCAGTGCGATGTGTCATGTAAACACTAAAGTCGCTCCATTTCATAACCATAAGCAACATTCAGGAGTGTTAAAGCATCCCAGCATTCGAAATACAGCTAGAAGATGTGCCTGGTATCAAAAAGGAGACGTTCACATGCTGTTGCTTGTTTCGACCAGACACCTTTCCCACATGGTTATATGACCCTTCAAAGTTACCGAAAAAGCACTTTAAGTTTTGTCCAATGAATTATAAGGGGAAAAAAAGGGTCCTGGTGCTTGGCTCTCATCTCTTATTGTGTAGTTAAGAGCTATGAAGGCTTAAAAATGCACACATGAGACCCTAATGTGCAAAATTACAAACTGAGAGCAAAAACTGATCAGGAAAGTGTTTGCTCAGGTTATATATTAAAGGCTTTTTTTCCCCATACATCCTCACTTCACAGGAGTCGCCCCCTGCTGGCCAAGAAAGTAGCACTTCACTTATCACACAGTCTAGGATTTTTAATCTTTTTAACGAGAGTCTGATAGAACCAGACAGATGGGATTACCACAATATTTGAGAAGCTTAATTTATTTGCTGTTCTCCTCCATTAGAGCAGTTTCCAGTGTCAATATTTACAAACTCTCCGACTTTGGAGCGTGCTGCCGTTAAGCACACAGAGGCCGCTCCTCTGCACGTTTAGCACAGTGATCGAGTTTTAGTGGCGATCCAAACAGCATTTCTCTGCAAGGCAGCATTTTCCAAAGCAGAATAATGAGGAAACTCGTTTCAGGAAGTTTCACCTTGCGTCACTCATGTGAATACAGGGCAGAGCTATTCTCTCATAACAGCACGGAGGAGGAAGAAAAACAAAGAGGATCGGAGCCCTCTCCTCGTTTTCCCTGTAAAGTACCCATGAAACCAAAAGAGGATAGGACTCTCTGCAGCACAAAGTGTCCGTTTATTGTTATGCATCTCTGCTGTTTCTGATTTAGTTTTTTAATTTAGGAGATTTTAGGACAACTGCTTACACTAGGAAAGCTGGTATATTTATAGAAAAAGGCACTAAGAGAATATTAGGAAAACAGTGAGTCGTGTTTCCATCTCTTCATCAACACATTCTGGTTTTCCAAATTTAATGATAACCATTAAATTAATTACTGTTTAATAACAAGCTTAAGGAAGTATTTTCATAGATTTTACAGTTTCACTGAGTGTAGTCTGTGTAACTCTGACCTCTAAATTGGAAAATAAGTATTTCTCATCCTTTTTTTTTTCCCAATGTATTAACATCAGGTAATGTCTGCATGGAAATAACCAACAATCATGCTTGATGACAGTTGGTTAGGCCTCTCTACACTCTCATTTCTGATCACAAGTCCCACTAAAGGACTTCAGGTCATCATGCCACCCTCACTGAGTCTGATTCTGACATGTGTACATGTAGGGCTCTGACCAGCTCCTGCTCTCTCCTCCACACTGTGGAGACCCTGGAGGAGCTGAAAGGGGTACAGGTACTATCTCATGCCAGTAGCAGCGAAACAAAACTAGAGGAGGGATAAGGAGAGAGCACGCACTGTAAAACCATTTGGCAGTTGCCTTGTTGTTGCCTTTCTACCAGTTGTTGCTTTAATTTGCACCAAAGC